TGATATTTTGTGGGTCCCTTCTTCTCATGGTCGATATGGAGTACGATCCATGTTTATGTGCTTGTCCAACTTTCATGGCCAAGAATTCCTTTGGAAGTCTATTTGGCGCTCTAAAGCTCCTCTTAGAGTTGCATTTTTTGTTTGGACTGCCATCTGGGGAAAGATTTTGACATTGGATAATTTGAGAAAGAGGGCTAATACCATTGTGAACTAGTGTTGTTTATGCAAAACAGATGGAGAGTCCGTGGATCACATTCTGATGCATTGTCCTATCGCATATGATTGTTGGAATTTAATTTTCAGCATTTTTGGTGTTCAGTGGGTGATGCTTGAACACTCTTTTCAATTTATCAACGCATGGAGAAGATGCCCAATTAAAGGTCATGCGCGTGCTTTTTGGAGGATTGTTGTGTTTGGTGGTGTATCTGGAGAGAGAGAAACAACAAAAATTTTGAAGGGAAAGAATCAACTATTCCAAATTTAAAATCTCATATTTTCCGTTCTCTTTTCTGTTATGTTAGAGGAAGCGTTTGCTCCTCGATTGTTGATTTTTTTGACCTTTTGGATTCTATTGGTCCTTAGGGTTTTTGTTCTTCTGTATTAGGGACGCGTTCCCCTTTTGAACGCTTTTCTAATATATTTTACTTATAAAAAAAAAAGAATAGGAAGTTCCAACTCACATGGTCGTACGCCTTCTCAATATCCAACTTGCACAAAACACCCTGAACCCCATTGCTTAATCTGGAGTCCACACATTCACTAGCAATAAGAACTGAATCCAAAATCTGATGACCTCCCACAAAGGCATTCTGAGAGTCAAAAATGACACCATCCAGAACCTTCCTCAACCTAGATGCCAAGACTTTTGCAATCAACTTGTAAAAACAACCCACCAAGCTAATAGGGCGAAAATCCCTAACATCCAGCGCCCTCCCTTTTTCGAAATGAGAGCAATAAAAGTAGCATTCAAGCTCTTCTCAAAAGAGCCCTGAGCATGAAAGGCGTGAAAAGAACCCATCACCTCCTCTCGGACCACCTCCCAACACCTCAAAAGGAATCTCATGGTAAAACCATCTGGACCTGGGGTTTTATCCCTATTACAGCTTTTCAAAGCAGACAAAACTTCCTCTATAGAAAATGACTCCTCCAAAATAGAGCACTTCTCACTCGAAATAGAGTCCAAATGAAGCCCTACAAGTAAAGGTCTCCAACCAGTAGGTTCAATGAACAACGTCGAGAAATAATCATCAAAACCTTTACAAGTCTCATCCTCCTTACAAAACACCTCCCCATCCACCTGAATCCTTCCAATGTGATTGCCCCTTCTATAAGCATTAGCAAGTCTATGAAAAAACTTCGTGTTATTGTCGCCTTCCTTGAGCCACAAAGCTCTAGACTTTTACCTCCACGAAATCTCCTCCATGACAGCAATCTCAGCAAACTCCGCCTGACACTCCACCCTCCTAAGCTTCAAGGAATTCGCCAAAATACCCTGACCCTCTATCCTATCAATATCAACAATCTCAGAAAAAAACCCGATTCTTCCTCCAAACTAGATTTCCGAAAACCTCTTTGTTCCAGATTTTAAGATCATTCTTCAAAAGACGCAACTTACCTGCGAGAGAATGACTAAGGGTGCCAACCACACCATACCCCAACCACCAAGAACTGACTCGCTCCAGGAAACCCGATTCTTCCTCCAAACTAGATTTCCGAAAACCTCTTTGTTCCAGACTTTTAAGATCATTTTTCAAAAGACACAGCTTACCTGCGAGAGAATGACTAAGGTGCCAACCACACGATACCCTAACCACCAAGAACAGACTCGCTCCAGGAATCCGTCACATATTCTCAAATCTGAAAGGGGGATCGTCTACTATGCAAACCACCACAATCCAACTGCAACGAAACATGGTTAGAAACAGGGCGAGCCAAAGTGCCTTGAACAACATCAGAAAACTTCTCCTTCCAATCACTCGACACAATGAATCTGTCAAGTCGAGAGAGGGTAGGAGGAGAGCGACCACTAGACCAAGTAAATGGCTCACCCGCCAAAGGCAAATCAAACAATCGAAAAGCATCAATGAACTCCGAGAAGGCCTCCATGTCGACCGTCCACCTACCCCCCGTCGACCTTTCAAAAGGAGAACGAACAACATTGAAGTCCCCACCAATACACCAAGGAAACGACCATCTCTTTTGAACCTCCCCCAGCTCCTCCCAAAGCAAATGACGCTCACAATCCTCTGTAGGACCATAAACACCAGAAAAAACCCAACGAAAACCATCCTCCAACAAAGAGAAAACGCAGGAAGTAGAGAAAAGCCCAACCCGAGAGTCCATCAAAGAGACCCACCGGTTGTCCCACATAATAAGGATACTGCCCGAAGAACCAACCGCATCCACAGCAATTCACACAAACAAGTCTGTCATTGAAGCAATCTTGGTTTCTTGCAGACACACAACATGACCACCCCCTTTACGAATCACCAACTTCACAACTTTCCTTCTAACCGAGTCATTGAGACCCCGGACATTCCATGATAGAATTTGTAACTTCATAGGGAAACAATTGAGTTGACTGCCTCTCCCCTCCCTCCCCTACCCCTCTCCCTAGACCCCCTATTCCTCCTTTCATAAGTGACAAGAGCCGAGGGGCTCGGTAAACCACTCATCCATCCCCACTGGGAAACTTCCCATACCATCAACAAACTGAGAATTAAGAACATCCAGAAACAGACAGACTTATCGCCTCCTCCAACCTACCCTCGAAAGAAACTCCCAAAAGGGAGCCAACCTCAAATCCCTTTTCCCTCACCCAATCCTCCTCCATAACAGCCACACCTGCCTCGCAACCAGCCCCCTCTCTATAATCTATTTTTAGAGGCTAATCAAGACCTTCGAGACCGAATTTGAAGGTGGTGTGGGGGTTGCAATCATAACATAGAATTCATTTGTGTAAAGAGAGAGAGAGAGAGAGAGAGAGAGAGCGGCTGTTATATATGTGTGTGTGCGCGCGCGCGCTTATATACCTATAGAGATGGAAGAAGAAAAGGCACAGTTTGACCATCTGGATTCTGGGCACATCAATTTCAAGATTTATCAATGGAGGTAGGGGAGATTGTTGAAGAAGTTGGACGATGGGAAACAGGAAATTTCTAGATTCATATGGGCACATCAATTTCAAGATTCATTAGCGAAGATTGTTGAAGAAGTTGGAGGATGAGAAAGAGGAAATTTCAAGATTCATCAGTGGAGATTGTTAAAGAAGTTAAGTGGATGGAAAAGAGGAAGAGTCTAAAGATTATCCAACAAAAGAAATAGAATGAACATATGGGCACATCAATTCCAAACAACTCTCTTTGTTTACTTCCAAAGTAAATTTCCATTGCTGTGAGGGGAAGGCGATGGTGGTGGTTCAGGGGTATTGTGTGGCCTGGTGTTATAAACAAGATAGGTTTACATTACAATCTTAGTATTTATTTAAAGACCGGCAGTTCTGTGTTTTCAAATTCTTAGCTTTGTGTTTCCAAGACTCCTACAACTACATTTTGTAGTTCTCTAAAAACCCCAACTATTGTAACTCAGTTTTTGAAAAAGAGTTCTCCAAAAACACATCCAAGTAGACCCAAAACCAGTTTTCTAGATTTTTGACACTCAGAAAGCAGAAAATTGTTTATTGAGTGAAAACCAAGCAGGCCCTAAACATTTTCACTATTTAGGCTCAATTATTCATAATGAAGGAGAAATTGGAGATGACTTTAATCATAAAATCAAGGCAAGATGGATGGGTTAAATGGAAGAGTGCGTCTAGTATATTGTGTGATAGGCGTATCCCCTTATGATTGAAAGAGAAGTTCTATCGAACAACTATTAGACCAATCATACTTTATGGCACAGAATGTTAGCAACTAGGAAACAACTTATGCATAGAGTGTGGCGGAAATGCAACTGTTGAGATGGATGTGCGGTAAAATTAGAAAGGATACAATTAGAAATGATCACATTTGGGAGATGGTTGGAGTAGCACAAATTGGAGATAAAATGAGAGAAAATTGGTTATGATTGTTTATACCTGTACAAAGAAGACCTTTAAGTGCGCCAAGTAAGAAAGTGACATAGTTCCCAGTAAGGTAATACTAGTGGAAGAGGAAAACCAAAGTCAATGTTTGTAGAGTTAGTAAGACAGTATATGATAGCATGTGGATTGACTGAGACTATGCTCTTAAATAGAGCGGAATGAAAACATGAGATTCATGTAGCCAACCCCAAGTAATTGGGAAAAAAAAGAGTCTTGGTGGTTATTGTTGTTGTTGTAGTCCCAAGTACATTTCTACATTTATTAAGAGCTTTGCCAACATCAAAACCCAAATTGTTCAATAAACAGATTGATTCCAAAACACTACAGAAATATTGTCCAAAACTTAAATTGTAATCTGGGAAAAGGAACCTAACACAAAATTCCATCCCATCCTCCCTCCTGCATCAGCCTGAAATAAGATCTTGCAAACATCATTTAAATCAAGATCTATTATCTTTATTTATTTTACTTTCACATGCTTAATGAGAACTTTCAAAATACACTAGCTTTCTTGGAAAGTGAGGCATAATGCTTAATGAGAACTTTCAAAATACAATAGCTTTCTTGGAAAGTGAGGCATAATGCTTAATGAGAACTTTCACAATACACTAGCTTTCTTGGAAAGTGAGGCATAAACCAGCATAACATCACAGCTTGAATCCTAACATTACACTATAAATAGACAAGTAAAAATTTCTACAAAACCCATCAATTCATTGTCAGCTTTGAATATAAAAAAAAAAGACATATTAATTATACTTGTAAATTATAAATTTTTCTATTGTGCGTGCAAAAATATCAAATAATGTATTAATGTCCAACAACAACAAAATCAAAAGATATTCACAAACAAATTCACTAGAATGTACTATAATCTAATAAAAGTAGAGCAACTGCCCTTAAGCTAACCGGAACTTACACTTTCAGCCTCATGCCTAAATCCTGCAAGAACGTGCAGTATGATTTGCGCAAATAGGTCTCTTTCTTTAAATTGATGCCATCTGTTCTTGAAGGGGAATCCTCTTCTAATTCCTTCCTCAGAAAGTACCATCGACCACCACCCATATCCATATCCTGATTCATGTCCTGGGAAGAACTGGTGGGCCCACCCTCTAACATTCCATGCATCGACGATGGAACCCCAGATGTATACCCAGCCATATGTATAAATATATATATATATGTCTGAGTGTGTGTTGGGAATCTACCACGTCCGAGGCTATGCTAACATATGCACAGTACTACCGACGTAGAAATACCTGCACCATTGCATTGTAGTAGTTCTAGTGAATTAGGGTCCACTCGTATAACAGAAATGTGAACATAAATACTAAATTAGGGCCTATACATTAAGACAACTATATATGTATATATATATATACATACACACTTTAACCATTGATTTGATAAAAGATAACCCACAGGGATTGGAAATTGTTGATTAGAAGGCTACGCGAGAATGAGATAGATATACATACCATGGCATTCGCCGTCACCGCCGAGAGTATTATAATATAACTGTGAAGGATACGAATCGTCCGTGTCGATAGAAAAAGTATCGGATAAGAACCTGAATCGAATCAAAATGCCTCTCTTCTCTTCTCTTCTCTTCTCTTCTCTTTTTGTGTCAGTGTGAGGTATGATTTCGAACGAGGGTTTCGATTGAAACCAGCGTTTGTTTATTTTCCTGTTCAGTCATAAAATCACTCTTTTCTTTATTTATACAGTTTCTTTTATATTTTCCTATTTTTGTTTGGATCCAACGTGTTTTTTTAATATTTTAAAAAGAACCCCTGTTCTTTTGTAAATTCCGATCCTTGTCCCAGAGGCTGTGTAGTGTCTGGGAGGAATCATTCCCTTTTTAGCATAATAACTAGTACTCCGTAGTATTTCTCTTTGTACCAAAGAAGAAAATAGAGGCTTTTGTCCATATTTTGTATCTTATTTTTTTGGGTAGTACAATTCGTGCTCCAAAAAAATCACCTCACCCTCTAAACCTAATTCTATTAAAAAGAAAATAACGGTGCTACCCTTGAAGAAATTTTTTGGGACGAAAGCCTATATTACAAAAGTTCTCTTCATCACTTTTCTTCTACGATTTTATCACTTTTTGTTCTTAATGTTTTTCTTTAAAAAATACTATTAAAAAAAAAAAAAAAAAAAGTTCATTTTCATAACAGACAAAAGCACCCACTTCATAGAAAAAGATAATATATACTTCAAAATCAATGAAACAATAATAAAACTTGAAATCCAATATTTTGAAACACATTCAATGTTTTTTCCTAAAAATATAGAGCAATTAAGCGGAAAAATAAATTTTATTGTGAAAAAAAATGAGAAATGCTCCAAGTTAGCCCATTTTTCACAACAAGATATGGGTTTTTGATATTTCAAAAAGTCATGAGAGTTTGTTACTTTCGTTCATAGATAAATACAAAATTTAAAGAAATTATCATTTTTCATCACGAAATAAAAAGATGTGCTTCCTCTGTAACTGAAAGCCTATGTAAGTACGTATGCCAATAGCACCACCCATTTTTTGCAATTATCTTCGCAAAAGATACCATGTAACTAATTATTTTTCTTTTGATACCATGCACCATATCATATATATATTTTTTTTAACTTTTTTTTTTTTCCAAAAATAAATAAGAATTACTCCTATTCCCTTCATGGTTATAAAGAATATCATTGTCCTTTCATTTCTTTTCACTTTCTTTCCCTCTTAATCATTTAAACAAAATGTTTGGAAACAGAATTTCAAGAGGGATATGAGATGACAGATTTATAATTGACATATATTCGTTTATTTGAAAGTGATAAAAAAAGATTCTGTCTCCTCTGCGTGGTATAATAAACCACCAAGATATGCCGAGAGTTCAATTCTTCCCAACAAATTTTTCTCTCTTTTGAACACTTTTTTAATATATTTTTACTTATAAAATATATATATATATATATATATATATATATATATTGTGTGAAAAAAAAAAAAAAAATTAACAAAATGTTTGGCATAATGGAATTAGAATGAACTTTCTATAAACATTATAACCCTTCTAAATTGTTTATTTTTTCCATATAAACAGTTCTAAGCTTCAAGCTACATTTACAATATTAAACCATAACCCCTTAATTACAAAATAATAATAATATGTCCCATTGGATGTATAATACTTACGACCCCATGTATTTATTTTTATTTGCACTAAATACTTAACTGATGCTTGCAAATTTGCTATTGTGTTTAATTTGAATTAGAATACCGCAAACTAGTCAACAATTAAGATTATACATTTACCAAAAAAAAACCATTAAGGTTATACAACAAACTTTGCATTATCAATACAGCACTACTAATGCCTAAAAAACTAGACACCTGAACATGTTTTGAAGTGAATTGCTCGTATACAACCAGACGGACCATCCAGGACACCGCCTAGCAAAAAACCATTGAGGACACCTGGCGATCACACAGCGTAGCAGAATGTTGATCAAAACCAATTTCCTCAGATGCAACACGTCCCTCAAGATCAAATCGGAATTCTTTGTATATCTGGTTTGTCAAAAAAGTGGAGATCAAATTATTCCAGATACCAAACGGGAAGGGAGTGCTATATATATCATCAGCGTAGCCGGGAGTTGCACTTCAGAAACTCTTCTTCTTTCACAATTCATCGGTTTCATCAGCTCACCAGCCAACCTGGTTTAAACATAATGTCTCGCTTGAAGTTGCGACCTGTGACAGATGTAGACTCACCCTGACGACGAAAACACTGCAAAACAAAAGGATTTTAGCCAAATAATTTCCCAACTAAATGTTGCTGACCCCTGCGTCTTATCTAGTGAGAACCTGTCCTGGACACACAACAAACGGATATAGATTCAGGCCCTTCAGGGTATGGTATGTGTCTGACATGCCTTGTTCAATATGTACTCAGCTAACATGCCCGGTAATTCAGGTTTCCATATAATGGCTACTTGAAACTCTCATAACATATTCGTATTAGTTATATGGTTGCTTCTAAATGGGTGAAGTGTCCATGTCAAATACTCTGCAGTATATTATATAGAACAATATTTTTATCCCATGAAATAAAAGAATATCAATAATATGATTTTTTGACTGTATCCACTTGTCCTATAGTTTGGGGATTTGACAAACCAGTAGCTTAGGCACATCATACTTGAGACAGGCATATGTGAGTTGATGTAACTATGGCTAATCCTCAAAATTTCATTTCTTTCCCCCAACTTATAGCAACCACATATAGTGATGTGACATATATTAAAAACACTGTTTGTGCTATACTACTGAGATTTAAGAGGGACAAATAAAAGGAAAGAAAACGCCTTTCGAAGACGAGAGGATGATGTTCCTAAGATCTGTCAATTTATCCATACTGTCTAAATCATTTAACCTAATAAGAATCATTATTGACCCTACAAGCTATATAAAGAATATCAAATACACCAGGCCGTACAAAAATAAATGAGATGTCAATATCACCAACCTTGTAACAAACTATGGTATCGTCTGGATACATTGCAAATAGTTTGGTTCCAAGGCGGGCATGACAAGAATCACAGAGGCTCTCATCATTTATCTGCACATGTCGTGACCTCTCCTCCAATCTTGCCAGACTTGCATCAGTGTCTATTGCCTGAGATAAGTTGTGCACAATCTGAAAAAGAAATTGATATTTGGTTCTGAGTTAGAGGGTAATCCTTCAGCATAAGGCTCAAAAGAACACATGCCTAGGCTGAAACTCCAATTCCATTAAAGATCTGTCTAAATGAAGTAAAGTTTCATGTAGTCATTCAGAATACTTGGGCGCTTTTACTTGTCACAGAAAAAAAAAAAAAAAAAGAATACTTGGGTGATTTTCTTTGTGAAATGAAACTAAGAATTTGACATTCTAATTTTGCCTGAAACAATGATAGATGTACCCAGAATATATTGAACTAGTTATGCAGCAACCCCAAAATCTCAACCTTTCTTACTCATGATAATCGATTATCTCAGCCAATTACACTTTACCCAAAGGCACCAAACTCCATGCAACACTTGACCAACTAATTACTAGGGAGTCAAACAACAATCAATAAAAGCTGAAATTAAATAACAATCTAGTAAGGGAAACAATATGTAACCCTAATAGCTAAAACAAATAAGTCATATACCATAGAAATGACAGTTAGAATGAGTTATAGGCACTACAGGAGTGGAGGAAAGTTCAAAGAAGACTTTTAGTTTCACGATACAACAGACAAAAATTCCAATTTAGAGGCTGCAAATCACTGCAAGATTAAGGTTGCAGACTTCCAATGCTTATAGGAAGTCATTAGGCAGGATTTGAATCATCAGCCAATTAATGCAATTACTCGGTATAACTTAAAAGGGAAATAGAACTGATGACTCATTTGGAAAGCATGCAAAAGTAATTCTCAATAATTAACTTATGGAAAACCAAGCAGCATTTATTATGGAAACATACTTGTCCTTGACGATGATGATGAAGTCGAGCCCTTAACATTCTTAATATTGTGTCTGAAGCAAGTTGGAGGGGCATATCTGGGGACAATCTCTGCAAAAGGAAATCTCAAATTAGCAAAATTTGCACAGGGTCCAACACATTAATAAATAAAACATCACCTTTAGTATTCTAGCACCACAAGGGGGAATTTACCAATCACAAGATGGCATGTAGGAGTTCCTATTTTACTTGGCAAAGAAACACAATTTGATGATTATCTTTTTTAGAAGCACAATAGGTTGAGAACTTCCTTCCAATGCTTAATTTACATAAGAATCACCTAGAACATCCATTTAACAAAAGGAATGGAAAAACCATCTGCCAGCCTTGCCGATAGGGATACATGTGCCAAATGCTGACCATGATGAGAGAGGCATATTAAACAAATAACTTTTGGATTGACAAAGAATTTCATCGACGATTCGTTTGGTTGAGAGAATTGGGGGAAAAGAAAAGACATATATAAAGTATGCAGAATTTTTCTCAAGTTTCAGACTGAAAAACAAATTGCAAACAAACAGTTATTTGAACAGTTGATTTCTAATCATTCATGAAGAAATTTCAAGTTTTCCTTGCTGAGCTAAATGTGAAATTTGTTTTTAGGAAATTCCTTGTCAATCACATGACAAATGAATTCATTTAAAAAATAAATAAATAAATAAATCATTTTCTTTCCCTTCTTGCCACTTCTCATACCAAATAGAGTCACATATTTCCAAAATTTTAGAGGAGCCCTTTTCTAACAGAATGCTAAAAGTCAGCAGTAAGTAATGAACAAAAATTGAGCATGTGAGAGAGAGAGAGAGAGAGAGAGAGGTGAAGTCTGATACCTCTAGCACTTGCAAAGGATCAAGAGATTCTCCATGATTATGGAGAAGACGAACTGCAGCTTTAAACATGGGCTCCTTACCGTCTTTTGGATCCAAATACATTTCAAGCAATCTGAGGTTTTTATCCACAATAGGCAAAATTAGGCAAGAAAATAAAAAGAATATTATGCATTCATGAGAGAGAGAGAGAGAGCAGGGACTAACTGCATATAGGCATCTGGTCTACCAATCTCTGTACAATATTGTTCAGCAGCTTCGCTATCCTCCAACTTCCTGACAGATCATTCAAACAATATATAAATATCCCCAATAATAATTCATCATAGACAATTATCTTTAGGAAAGGTTCACATGCAACCTTATGATCCTAATATTCTACTAGATATTTTTAATTTAAGATCTTGACCCAAGATCACACCTTAAAAGATAGCTAGTATATGAAATCCTTCCAAGGTGATTGGAATCTCCAGTTTAAGCTATATATATATATATATCTTCCACAGATTCTATTACCTTTGAATGAACTCAAAGGTTGCATTAGGGTATAATATTTAAAATATAGCTAGCAGAGATTGTACTATTTCCGGTTCCCACTGGCCATAAGAATACTGTTTATTTGAACGGTTCGCATGAGCTAGCTAGGTCTGCCTTTATTTTTTAGGGCTAGAGAAACCTAACTTTAAATAAAATCCCTAGTGTTTAAGATATGCAACTCCAGGCAAAAATAATTAGAATAACAAGAAATTCAAGCCAGAATCTAATTATTCTATGCTAATGTTATTCCAAAGAAGAAATCATTTGCCACACAAACTGGAGCATGACATCTTCAGTATCCGAAATCTTAGGATTCTACACGAAAGAAAAATGGAATTACTGTTCTCATGTGTACTACTTAGTTGATGATAGACGACGAATACAATTATTCTAGAAAGTAATTGTGAACTTACAAGGCCAGGATTTGAAGCACCAATGTCTCTTGCCCTAGTTTCCTGTAAAGAATAGCCTGTCACAAAGAATAGGAAAAAACATGAGCATTTAAAACTATTCATTTTCACACTAACACGGACAAAAAGGATAGACATTAATATTAGAACTGTCTAGGGCCTCAAAGGTGAACACATGATCAGTGTATTATGCCAATTATACTCAAATAAGCAGAACCCAAGAGACAAGGTAAGATGAAGAGTTCCAAAGGACCTTTTCCAACCATAATTCTGATCCTTCAATCAGGTCAAGGACCTCTTCGGGATCATACAAGTCTGAAGACTGTAAAAAAATCTGCAACCGTTCTCTGACAGGACTTTGAAAGATAGAATCCCTTCCAGAATCAGAAATATTTGTCTCCTCTGGGATTCCAGCTTCAGTTTCTGTTATATAAGTTTCAATAGCTGATTTGGCCAGCAAAATTGCATAGGAAGTATGGAACTGAGTGTCATCGGAGTCTTGATCTTCAATCAACCATTGGAGGTATCTGAACAGATAAGAACGTGAATGTGAAAAGCAGTTCTTCTAATAACCAATACAAAGACCCAGTGACACACATGCCACCAGGTACATAGAATACCCGACTAAAACTAGCAGTAACAAATTAAGAGGTACCAGGGCACGTTCTTGAGTTTTGAATAGTAATCATTGGGAATAAAGGTCACAAGGATAGAATGATCAATGTAAATTTCATGGTCTTCATGTAGAAATGCTTCTATGGATTCTTGTGGAGATAATCTATACTCCCAAGATGCAATTAGACAATATAAGGAACACACCTTTGAAGAATTTCCACCTTTTTCGGGTCAATAGCAGCAATTACTTCATCTGCAGTTGAAGCACATCAGGAGTGAACCATCAAAAAAGAAACTAATATTTTAAGTAAATGATAATGCATGCACATTCCCACAACCACTTTTAAGCATTACTTACCATATGGTAGTGTGAAAAAAGAGGCAATTCAAGAGAACTACACCATGTCAATGCAAAATTTTGTAAACATATATACGACAGAATCAATGCTCTGTTAGAGTAGCCCTAAACTTATCATTCGAATATGTAACTGGGGAAAAACTTTAAGAACAATATTTTTCCTGCATATAATAAAACGAAGAAGATATCATTCAAATATGTAACTGGGGAAAAAACTTTAACAATCTGTTTCCCAAATTATAATAAAACAAGAAGAATAGAACCCTCTGAATGCTGGTGCAGACTTATTCTTCATAACTACATGAGTAAATTATAAATAGATCACTTTGAATCTGGTACAGCCTTATTAGTCTCAGGCACCTTAGCACCTACATAGAATTATGTGCTATTTGAAAGCAGGGAGAAGAAACTTGACCGAAGTAACCAACACTTCCGCTCCTCCACTAAGGAGCCAATCACAGCTCTTTCTATTATAATCTTATTTATCCAAAAAAAAGGAGCCATTCACGGCAACTCCAAGAAACAAGGAATAATGCAAAAGGTGAGGGGTCATAGAGTATTTAGAAACTCATGGATCTAATTGTTGACATAAGGTACCAGTTAAGAGATTAGCTTTGATGAACTGAAAAGACTGGTTGAAAGCTACAGCACTACAAGAAAATCAAAGAAATAGTAGCACAGCTTGAAAAGGGCCTAGGCTTGCCTTTTCAGTTGTTGGAATTAGCCACTAGGTGGAGTAAGACCTTCAGGCTCCCACTGCTGCCTGATTACCTTCATCTCTTGCACCACTTTCTTCAATTTCAGTTCTGCTCCATATTGTAGTAAAGCACACATGAAGTAGCCAGAAGCTATACATCTATGCCTTGAATTTTTTACTTTTGGCAATAAGTTATTGTGTTTGAGAATGAATAACGAAATAAATGTGTAACAATTTACCAACTACATATGTTCTTTACAATTTTATTCCTTTATGAAGACAGTAGATATCATATTATATTCAGATAAAAATCAATAACTTTGTAATCTTTTTTTTATTCATATATGAAGACAGTAAATATCATATTATATTCAGAAAAAAGTCAATTACTTTGTAATCCTTTTTTAGTATTGTAAGGTTACTAATTATCAAATATATTACTAAATAATTTCATAACTTCCAATAGATAATACATTGCAAAACATTTTATTTTTTTATAGGAAACATACCAGTGACCAATTAATTGAATGCAATGCATAGACTGGGATGCATTTGACCTGGGAGAATCACCAGTGAAATACCATACTATATATTTATGTATAACCTTTAGCAAGTAGGAAGTCATATATGGTACCACAAAAAATTTATAAATAAATAAAAAAAACGAAAAAAAGAAAATAAAAGCACAGAAAACAAAAGTAAAAGCAAAACAAGAATAAACTTAAAAAGTGAAAGTTTTTCAGATTATTATGAGACCTGCCTGGTGAAAGCTGAACAGTTCTTTTCTCTGATGTTAAAACTTGAACAGCGAGTACCTGGTTGATATCTGCAATCTAATATGAAAAACCAACACCCTATCAGTTATTAGATTCATATAGCACGCAGTTAACTACCAGAAGCACTTCTCCGAAAAATCTTTCATACCCATCCAAGATGTTGCAGTACCAAATCTTGATCAGATGACTCCTCAAGAATCTTTGATGCTTCAATTGCAGCAGTCTCCTTGCCAGATTTAACAGTCATGGAGGCATCCTGCAAATCAATTTCCCCTGCAGAGTCTTCCCAGTAGCCAGATGAGTAATTCCTAGCCAGAATTCGCCAAATAGCAAGAGCCTTGGAGCTCATCCCTTTACTTGCGTACAGGAAGGCAAGCGTCCGCAAATGCCCGGATTCATTCAGTAAAGTTTCTAACTCCTCCTGCACCGCCCATTGAAGTTGTACTGTCATCCTTCAAGCAGGCTTCTGACTGACCTCTCCACTTTGAAATACATTGGAATACTAAGATTCCGCTGTTTACCAACAACCGCACATGGTGCATTGTCTTGAGGACAATAAACAAATTTCATCTTGACCCTACAACTAACACATAACATAATGCTTTCAAATCCGGAACAATGAGTAGTTGTAACAGTAGGACCATCAAAATATCAAACAGTTCACATTCAAACTGTTGAAACCCTCAAGAGCTGTCTGAAGTGAACAAATCATTCTTTTTAGGGCAGTTATTCTCAATCAGCCAGCCAAATGAACTTGTCTGTTAACATTTCTGTACTTAAAAAGTGAGCTTTATAATCCGAGTGCTTGAAATACAAAATTTCTCATTGAATAGCCCTCAATAATTGGACGCGTAACAATCATATTTATTAGTTTATGTTATTTCAAAAAAAATCTATTTATTATTTCTATTATTAGTGAGGTGAACTCACGATTCAACCCAATGACAGCTAAACAGCTGCCAATGAACCAGTCCCTTTCACAGCTTCCTCAATGGTCCGGACTTGAAAACATTGCAAGAGTATGAGATCACAGTTCAACCTGCAGACCCCAATACTCGAAACTGCTGACCATGAACCATGCCCTTTCAAAGGTTCTTTATTGGTCCACACAAGGATATATTGCAATAATATGACTACCAAAGGGGGTACAAATGACTGAATATAGTATTCAAGAGAAGGAAACATGACGCATACCACTATACAACTGTTCTCAGTAGATGCAAGCTTCTCCATGTCATCAACACGATTTAGGGCTCTATAGAGGTACATTAAAAGAGTGTCAACTCCTTCCCTCACTGACGGAGTTAAATCCTTTTCACGTGAAACTTGTAAATACCTGTAGTAAATCTGTATGTGAGAGAGAGAGGAGGAGGAGGAGGAAGGGGGTGTTAACAACCCACCACTACATGAAAACAAGACAAATTACACCTGATTCTGATAACAAAGCAACCCAACACTACATGTAAATCAATTCAATGCGGATGCTGAAAACCTACGATTCTCGTACATTCATAATTCTACACATCCCACACCTGAGAAAATATTGGGTGGGGGTAGAAGAGGAAAAAACAACAGTTGAAAAAACAATAACTAAGGCTGCGTTTAGTAACGAGAAACGTTTCTTGTTTTCTGTTGTTAACCTCTAAAAAGGCAAAACGAAAACAAAAATCGCGTTCAATAAAATGTTTTTGTTTTTCTATAACAGAAAACGTTTTCAATTTTTGTGAAGAAAAGAGAAAACATCAAAATGATGTTTCTTATGTTTTTGGCACTGTAGCGTAGAAACGTTTTCAGTAATGTTACTGCACAGGCACTATTCATTTCAAATAAAATTCATATTATTTGTGTTATATACTAAGTTGCATATTAAATGTTAATAAAAATATATATTTTTAATATAGAATAAATTAAATATTGTATATTATTTTTTATTTGATAAAAATATATTTTAATATATAATATATTAAATAATAATGTAAATTATTTTTTGTGACAAAATAATTTTTGATATAGAATATAATGTCATTAAATTATTAAGCAGTGGATATTTTATATTATTATATATCATATCTATATTATATTATATGTAAATATTAAATTATAATTAATTTACAATATTATAACACAATATATATTTTATTACATATAAGATATATTATTTAATATTTTTTATTCATAATAAATTATCATATGCTAAATTATCATGTATATACATCATGCATATACATGTATTTATATACATAATTGGTGGGAATATTTTTGTCTTGGTATATCTAATTTTGTACTTATGATGTATTGGGTATTTTTAAGATTTATAATTTTAAATTAGATTTTCTAAATTTATGGCTTTTTGATATTAATGGAAGCAAGTGTTGCCCCCTGTGTCCGAGAGTTCGTGTTCAGGTCATCTACCCTTCCCCTCACCCTCCCCTCTAATCACTAACTCCTAAAATTCTTGCCATGAAAAAAATAAAATAGAAATGAAAAAAATAAAAAATAAAATAAAAAAATTAAAGAATATTATGTGTATTTTGTAACAAATATGTTGTATTACTAAACACAGTTATTGTTTTATGTTTTCAAATTTGTGACAACAAGAAGTGTTAATAAACATCATTTCTGTTTTCTATTTTCACTCAAGAAAGTAAAATCATGTTTCTGCTTTCTTAACACTGAAAAAACAGAAAACGAAAACGTTACTAAACGCACCCTAAGTTAGTTAAAAATATACACCTGGTGATGTTTTTGATTGCTGACTCTAATAAATCAGCTTTATTTGGTGGATTCAGAAGAAAATCATCATCCACTGCAGTCTCCACACCTGCTTTCTTAAGAAAAATAGACCTTTGGATTGCCAGCAACCCATCATCAACAACATTTTCAAGAGGTGAAGGGGGAGGATGCAGGCCCCAATACCGATTCCTTGGAACCTGAAAATACAAGTTTCAATTAATTCTTTCAATTTAATGAGCATCATATCACAAGACAAATTACACATTAATCAGATAAAGCAATTTAACAATGAAAACTGAACTTCAATATTACATCAAATCCCTGCAGTATCATACTTTTGTGAGCATACTGCTCCATAACTCATGTCATAAATGCCAAGTTCCAACTGAAAGAGTATTTTCCTTTGCTTTCTTGTACTCTTTCGTTGACTAGTTTGACAACGTATTAACTCCGGTAGAACTACTCACATCAAATGTGAATGAGAAAATTTTGGCCTCAGTTGAGTGCTCAGCAACATAAAAGAAGTACAGGCCCTTACATTCTCATATTGGGTGCACTATCAATGTGTAAGAACCCAATCACTCCTGGAGATTCACCCAGGATTTGTTCAACAAAATATACAGTTCAAGACAAGCCTCCTTTCCAACATTCTTATAGAAACAGCCAAAACAAAGTTTCTACTATGTAAAAGTCCATTCTTCTGCACGAAACCTATTAGATCTAACTCCTTTCCAACCATTCTTATACACACAACCAAAGCAAAGTTTCTACTATGTAAAAGTCCATTCTTCTGCAGGAAACCATGAGATCTAAGATCAAATAGATCTAGGAAAAAGCTAAAGGTCAAGTTCATAAAACATGGATCAAGACCCCTTGAGAGCAGTTGAGCAATGAAGTCATCCCATCTATTGTTAGTGAATTAGAATTTCACAATATGTGTCTTAACCCTAGTCAGAATCTATTGGGTACTACAATGGGGTTCTGATGGCAATAGGATGATTGGCACCATTGGTAAAAGGACCTGAACTTGGTATTACCCACTGGTTGTAACAAATTTTTCAACATCCTCATATCAACCCCCAGAAATTCAAAATCTTAACTTGTTCATGCTGAACTAATTAGGTTCCTCAAGTTGTAGGGATAACCTGGGAAAACTGACAGGTTAAGAAATCAAATAACAAACAGTCTTAGGGTTCATGTAACAAAGGAATTAAAAAACGGTCAGTTCAGAATCTGGTGATTAAAGGGCTATAAAAAGTTTCTGTAGAAAAATTCACAACACAAGAAAGAGAAATAAAAACAAAAGTGACACAGTGAAAAGTACCATTCTCCAAAAGGTTGTCTCAAATCCAATCTCAAGTCAATAGGATGGAACAAACTCATTTCTTGACCAGACGATTTTATATTAAACCTCAATCTCATTCTATATCAAGTGCCCTTCTTTACTAATACTAGAAATCTCTAAACGTGTTATGCTCTTCAAATTGCCCAACCTCAATGGTGCAATTAAACAAAAATACACACAATCTAGGACACCAAAGAGTCCCAATCTGTAAATCTACCATACCACTTCTATGCTAAAAATACAGTAACTCAGGGACGAAATTACTAAACTACTCCTAATACGTAGAATTACAAAAATACTCCTATAATAGAAGCTAATGATGCATATATTTGCTACAGACTCTTTCTTCCCTTCTTTTGCTCTTGCATCATTCACTTTCTACTATATAAATGAATAAAGAAAGAGAACCTCTAATTTTCTGCAAGGGAATTTTTCCAACAGTAAAAATTGAAAGAAACCAAAACCAAGAATGTAAAATAAAGCAAAATATAACCCTTCCTACTATATAACATATCCTCATTGTGGCAATAGGGAAGCAAACCTGCAATCATGACCAGAATAAGCCAGTTTAACTTGTTTAAAAAATTAAATAATGATTTTCTTGTCAAAATTGTGGCTTATAACTAGAAAAATTAGTAAATTTGTCTAGAAGTAATATGTTCAGCATGTTTTGCCTTAGAATTAGAAGGAGAAGAAGCAAGCATGTGAATATGACAATCATAGAAACAAGCATATAGGATATACCAGCAATGTCCAGCGATTTGGGTCTCGCATGATGAATGGGAATACTTCAGAAGGCTGCATAGTTTCTGAAAGCAAGAAGTGATTTACTGCTTCCTCAAAATGCAAGTCAAACAGCAAGAGGAACCCCACTTGAGCGTGGACAAAGGAGAGCATTTCCTTTGTCATTTCACCTTCACTCTGAAGTTCCTCAGCCAAGTAGGTGGCTTCCTTAAAGTTCTTCTTTCGTAACAGATCTTTAATTTGTTCTTCAGAAGGTACTTTCCGATAGCAAATAACCTGGCATCAAATGTAAAACAGGATAATTTTCCAGACATCCTACCAACATAAGCATGCATAAGAAAGTACTAATATGGGTCATAATCTAAGAAGCATGGACACTTCTATGAAGGTGTTGTGTCCATGTCTGACACCGTGTCAGACACTCCTAGACACGTCTCCAACACTTCATGTCCATGTCCATAATTTAAAAATAATTTTTATTATTTCGGACACTTCACCGACACATCTTGGACACTTGGCAAACACATCCCGTGCCCAAGGCAATCGTAGAAACAACATTATACACCTACATCAAAGTGTCCAACCTCCTTTCATTAAACAATTGAAATGAAAAAATGTCAAAATACGTAATTACAAAAATATAACTATAATCACAAAATAGGATAGTAATATTATATATAATAAACCCCAAGGGTTGGCTCAAGTGGGTACGTCGTCACTTGGCCCTGGTGCCTTGGGAAGCATTAGGTCCAAGGTTTGACTCAATAGATATATAAATGAAATTTTATATTTATATGAGCCGTGTTCACGCCGTATCCGTGTCCTACTTTTTTAGAATTTGATGTGTCGGCATATCCGTGTCGTATTGTGTCCGTGTCCCGTATCCATACTTCTGAGGTCATAATGGAATTATCAAGCAGTTAACATCCAATTTAAGGCTCTTATATACACATGGAACACCTTACATTAACTTAAGTTCGAATGGTTTACATTAGATTAGAGAATAGACATTAATTGAACTTTCAACCAATCATGAAAAGTCTATTAAACACGTGATTCTACTTCACTGAGTCAAGTTTTATCTTATGACTTCTTTAAGTAACTTGGCCGTCCGATTAATTTTATCGATACCTTTTCTAATATTTTTAAACCAAATGGTATTTTGGCAACTTCATGTGTTGGCCATGGGCTGGTAAAGGCCCATGAATTGTATTTCAGGACAAACTGTGATATTCGGTCTTTGTTTGTATATCAGTAGGTTTATATGGCTTTTACTAATTTAAGTCTCTTAAGTTTCTAAAAAAGAAATTTAAGTCCTATCAAAATTTGGATTATGGTAATCCATTCAGTCCAACAGAGAAGAAATTTTAGAAATAAAATTTCACCAATGATACTCTTCATAGATGTTGTGATGAAATTAAACTTTAGGTGCAATGACCAAAGGAATTCAAGTGTGAGGCCCTACTTCCTCTTCCCATTTTTTTTTCTTTTTTCTTTTTTGGACAAGTCTTACTTCTTCCACCTTTTCCCTCTCCTTTTTTTGGATCTAAGTCTTTCTACACTCAGTAAGCTTTTAAAACTCCATAATCAGATTGGTTTTAACCCCATTTTTTTACCCTTAAAAATCTTATTTCACAAGCCCTATTTCCTCCTTTCAACAAATTGTTTATAGCACCATAAAACAACAAAACCGGAATTATATCTTTGAGAATCTGAAACTTCTTAGCAAGCACATAACTAGTAGAGCCAGTAAACACTGCTTCCTCCCACCAGGACTGGACCTTCCCTTGGAAGTCCTCAGCTCTCAACCACATATTTTCGAAACGAAATGGAGTCCGTCTAGATCTCATACCTCCACAATCAAGAACTAAGGGCACATGATCAGACGTGACTCTAACCAAAGCTGCCTGAGTGACATCCGGGAACTTCTCCTCCAAATCTCCAGAAATCAGGAATCTGTCGAGCCTCGATAAAGTAACTGATTCTCTGCCGCTAGACCAAGTGAAAGTTGCCCCTTCCAATGGCAAATCAATAAGAAGGTGACCATCAATAAAGTCGGAGAACTGGGTCATCTCCGAAGACCACCTCCCCCCTGTGGATCTCTCAAATGGAGACCGAACAGAATTGAAATCCCCGCCTAAGCACCAAGGCAGCGACCACAATTCCTTAATGTAGCTAAGTTCCTGCCAAAAAATAGGTCTATCACAATCAATAACGGGTCCATAAACTCCAGAAAAGACCCAACTGAAATTATCATCTTCCATCTGAAACACACATGACAAAGAAAACAGCCCTTTCCAGATATTCGTTCTGGACATCCATCTACGACCCCACATAATAAAAATGCCACCTGATGTACCAGAGGCGTTCAAGGCTTCCCAATCCACGAACCTACTTCCCTAAAGGCTTCTAACCACATCATCAGAAATAGAAGCCAACTTGGTTTCTTGCAAACAAATAACATGGGCATTCCACTTCTTCAAAGCAACTTCAACCACCTTTCTTTTGTCCGGATCATTTAATCCACGGGCATTCCATGTAATAATTCGTATCTCCATTGAGAACCAATAATGATCAGTGCCCCTCCTCCCTGCTTCCCACTTCTAGTCCCTCCCCTTTCTTTATTCACCCCATCCTTCCCTTCGTAATTGACATTGGAAATAAGGTTCTTAACCTCCTGATCACCTTTCCGATGTGCATGTTTCCAATTTTAACAACTTTTGTGCTTTTAAAGATCTCTATATTATTGTTTCCTACCACAATATCATGAAGAATGGTTTGTGTTCGATCATCATCTCCTTCTGAGGAGACACCCAAAGCTTCGCTAACCTCACCAATATTATCCAACACCCAGTCCATACCCAAATCGTTAACCGTCTCTAAGCAATCAGGGTGTACAGTTGCTAAGGGTTCCATAATGTCCACATCAGATTGATCAATATCCCAGGCAAGAGGACAGATCTGTTGAGACAGATCTTCAAAGTCCTCCCCTTTGCTTTCAAAACTATTCTGATACAAGTTTAATTGCAGATTCAACTCTGTTCCAGGGTCATCCGTAAAATTTGTCATCAAATCATGGGTAGAATTCATCCCAGTCACGGAGGGTAGACCATTTAAGCCTTTTAGAGCAACACAGAGCTTAAGTTCATTAAGTAAATTCACGGCTAAATCATCTGTCAGCTTAAAATGAAGGTCTCGTCCAACACAAACTGTCACCCCGTTGGAACAATCAATACTTTCGGACTTGGTCATTGAAGACGGTGATTCTGCATCCCGTGGAACAATGGCTTCAGACAGACCTCTCTTTTGATCCAAACGATCCTCCACTCCACCTTCACCATTTCCTATCACCTCACGTGAAGAAGGAGTAGAAGATGAGCTCTTAGGATGAGAGACAGAGGTCGAACCTGGAGAAGGAGAAGGAGAACATGCTACCCATTTCTATTTTTCAGTACGAGTCCATCCGGTACCCTGTCTACTAGCTGAGGCAACCGGCCGTCTCCACTTTTCTTTCTTAGTCCGACGCTGAAATGAAGAAGAGGAGAGATTTTGATAATAGGTTTGAGTGTGAACATGGGCTTTCCTTGGATCTGATTCGTTAAGAACTCATATATATATATATATGAGTTGGAGAGAATTGGATCAATTACTTCAATTGGAACGGTAAGGACATTTCCAGGGAATGAATCAAAGTGGCTGCCAACATATTCTGGTAAGGACGTTTCAATTGGAGCATTAGGTCTTTGATTCAATTCTTCTCTCTCTAAATTGGCTGCCAAGGAATGAATCAAAGACGTAATTCGTAAGGACATTTCCAATACCGCTACTCCGGATGAAACAACTGTAGCTCTTACACATGCTATTTCTTCTACACTTGAAGACAAATATAGTATAGAATTATCTTAACCTAGTCCTTTGCTCTGGATTCCTTCCCCCTTCTTAATTTACAAGAATCATTTTAATGGAGTATAGAATTATTAAAATTTACAATAATCATTTCAATTTATCTTTTTCTTAACAATTTGTAATTAACATTCTATGATTTATATTCATTAACGAATACTGTTCTTTTTTTTTTCAACACAAGTGGCCTATTTTTTTATTTTTTTTTTATGATGAAATATGATTCTAACAACAAATTAGAGTAAATTAATCGTACTTGTAACATAATAAAGGGTCAAATGAGTAGTAAAAATAGGGATGGGTATAATGATAAAAATAATTTGAAATTATCTCCTCTTCTCTCATAACAAACAAAGTAGGTTGTCATCTTTTTCTCTTCTCTTCCATCCAACCGAAGAAAATGAGAGAAGTTCAGAATCTCTTCCCTAGGGATGTCACATCCTTCTTCTTCTCTCCCTTCCATCCAATTTTTTTCCTTCCTACCGAACAGAGCATAAGATTTTAGCTATATATACCAAGAAATGCACAAGGACCCACTAATTGAGCAGCAAGCCAACATCAAAATCACAACTTTGTAACCGCAAGCCTTTCAGAAAATAAAGAAAAATTACATTCTAAAGGATTGCAAGTTCAATGTATAATAACAAATTAACAATACTTAATATTTAAAACTCAGTCTTTGTTACACCACCAAAAGATTAAAAAGCATACAAAAATCTGTACAGTTTACATACCTTGGACAGTGTTGCTACAGCAACAAGTTTCCCTCTCCCGTCTCCCTCATCTGCCACAACACGTGGACCAACTCCTTCCCCAATGAAAGAAACCATTTGAACACAATCACCTGTTTTTTTGTGATACAACTCCATCTTTCCACTCCTTGTAACAACCACATGTGAGCCTATCTCTCCAATAGAATCTGGAGCATGACGGAATACCAAGCTTCCACCAACAGGTTGCCCCCGGGGATTAACAATAACCCCCACATTGTCAACCAACAAAAGCACATTATACTCTTTCATCAAAAGTTTCAGGCTTGGAGGACTAGATGGATCGGGAAGCGAAAAAATCAAAGCACTTTGCCCAGTAACGCAAGAATACAAGCTGTACCCATTATAAGTACCAACAATTATGGAATCATCAAGCCACACCATGGTTGTGACCCCATCAACGCATTGGATTTCTTTCAGAATTACAAAAGACCCACCAATACCATCAACATCCCCGTCACTTCGGCCAACTCTACCACCCAAAACAAGCTCTACCAAAATCAATCTTTTCCCAACCACAACCGCAAAAATGCAGCTACCGTCTCTATGCAACTGTAGTTCTTTAATCTTCATACCATTTGATCTAATCCCACCACCTAATTTCTGTAAAAACCGCTGACCTGTGCTCGAAAACTCAGGCAAACTAATACTATCATCTCCTACCAAATTGGAACTTTCGGATTCGCCACACTGTATCCTCCGAGCCACAACACTAACTCCCTTTGAAAAGCTCAACTTCTTCACATGTTGTAGTAAAAGTGAGTCAACCAAATACATAAACCCATCCGAAACCACCAGAACCTTCCCAGCATGAACAATTACATGTATCGAATCGACCGAGCAATTGCTCACCGATACATGTCGCAGAAGTGATATATTTGTCGGCTTAGAATCGTCAAAATCAGCTGAATTTCTGTGCTTTGAACTGAGAGGTGGATTAGGGTTTAGAGAGAGTAAGAAGAGGTTACCCGATTCGGTGCCGACGTAAATGAGGGTTTGAGAATCGGAAACAGTGGAGACCGCGAGAGATCGAAGGGAAGCGAATGAGGAGTTGGAGGGATTGAACTCTGCAACGAGTTCGATGACGGTTCGAGTCTTGGGTTCGATTTTGGCCATGGGATGAGGGAAACTAGGGTTGAGCTGGAGAGGCTAGAACTTCGAAGAGACCGCCATTAACATCGCCAGAGCACCGCGAATCTACCAGACCGTTCACCAACCAGTAAAAAGGGTCGAGTTCAGAGTCGGCCTTTAAACCGCCCGGGTCCGAAGACCCTGAACCATGACATTAGGCCATGTTTGGTAGCTGTTTTGCTTCAAGTGTTTTTGTTGTAGGGCTGCTACAGTAGCTCATTTCGGGCCCAAAACATGTTCGGTAGTTATTACTTTGTTTGAAACAGTAACAAAATATTGTCAAAAATTGGGCCAAAAAGTAAAACACCAAAATGGTGTTTTATCTTGTTTTAGTACTGTATGCCCAATACAATCACTGTAGCGGAAGAAACAACTTTCGCCAATCGTACAAAAGCTGACTTGCAACATTTTGCTTCATTTTGACCCGAAAATTTCTCTCCCCTCTGAAACCCTAGGTCTGGCGATTTTGGAAGCGACCCAAACGTATCTCCTGCGATATTGAAGAAGAAGGTCAGGTAATAATAGTGCAAGTCCTTTGAAGCCCTAAAACATTTGTTTTAGTGTGATTACAAGTGTTCTTCGGTTCGGAGTTGTTCGATTTTGTCTTAGAGACTCTCCCTTTTCCAAATGTAAGGATATCTTGAGATCGTTTCATATATAAGCAATTATATTAAGTGTTTGTCTGATTTGCAATAGAAAAGGACATCATTTTCATTTATAGAATCACAACGTATTTTGGTTAAATATATTTGATGCAGATTAAATGGATGTGCCCAACTGCTCCTTCTCAACCAATAACATTATTTGGTGGTTTTCTCTCAACTGATTGTAAGTTTTATTCCTTTGAGAAACTTGCATTATTTTCTTTTTGATTTATAATGGTTGTTGCAATCCTGAGTTAGAAGTCGTACAATTCGGTACTGTAATTAAAGTAGTTGGGTTCGATTTTGAATTTTACAAAAAGAGGGCAAAAAAAAAAAAAAAAAACAAAAAAAAAATATTTATTATCTTCCTTTTCATGAACTTTCACTACAAGAGGGAAAATTGTGTTATAATCCTGAAGTAAAACTTGATGTGTTACATATGTTTGGAACCAAAATTCTACTGTTTGTCCTGCTAATAAATATTATATGAATTCTTGCATGATTTAATTTAGGGTTTGACGTAAATGACCTTTCGGAAAGTGCTCATGCAAATGTTGCAGGTTTGTTATCAATGGAGCCCGCTGACAGTAGATTCTCTTAAATTCAGGCTTGTTATAGATTCAAAGAATTTGGTATATTTTCTGTATTTCCTTGATAAGCGATGATATAACTAAGAGCAAATATTACTTAGAAAATTTGGGACTGAGCTTGAAAAAAAGGTATGCTTACTTTGAAGGCTCATTGAATTTTAATGATTGATTAATATATGCCTGTAACCAGTGGAGTATACTCATTCATTTTGATTTTTTCATTTTCAGGTTCACTATATATTGCAGACAAGAAAAGTTGGACTAGTGTTTTTGAGATGTGTTTTTTTTTTTTTTTTTTTTTTTTTTTGGCAGTTAGAAGAAAATTGTAATATTTGCTACCATGTTTTATTTACATTTTGCCTCTTGTAATAAATAATACAATTGTTCAAAACAGATTTATGTCAACTTTTAATATAGGTTAGATTATTTGTTCATTATACACCGGTTGTATATTGTAATATTCTTCCAATGTTATATATTATACGTTCTATTTCACTTATGCTTGCAGTTGTGTTTGTTTTTATTTTTAATGTTGTGTTGGACTATACAGGTGTGGTTATTACAAACAACTTGTAAATAGGTTATTGCAAAAATGGAATATATATATATATATATATGTTTGTGTGTTCAAATTCCTCCATATATATTAAAAATATGATAACTATTTATATATAAATAAATTTATAAATATACTTAAAATTTATAAAAACAAACTAAAAACATTGATAATCAAACATGTTTTTTTGTTTCTGTTAATTTTTTTTTGGCAACAGTTGTAATGACCAAACATGTTTTGTTTTCACAATTCTTGAAACGCATAACCTACCAAACATGTTTTGCATGTTTCTGTTTCCGATAATTTCACAGCAAAATATCTTTCCCAAACGTACTTTCGATTTTCTTCCAAAACACTCTACAACAAAAACATTGTTTCTGTTTTAGCCAAAAACAAAACGCCAAAAACAAAGCGCATGCCAGACGGGCCCTTATGCTTTCTTTAGTTATTTTTTTGAGGGAAAATTATAGTTAAATAGAGCTGCTAATTAGTCTATTTTAAAAGTTTATTTTTCAGCTTGATTGAATTAAGAAAAATAATTACATATGCATTTAAGAATTATTAGTCAGGTCTAAAATGTCCTCCAAGTTTTTATTTTAAAATACCAAGTTATCCTTTTAAAATTTAATATTTCTTTTGCTCCAAAAATTTTAAAAAATATTAATTAACTTTCTTGAGTGAAAGAAATTTACAAATCATCATTCTTAAATCAAATCGTTTCTAAATTTATAATGCGAGCACTTTTTTTTAGAATACAAAACTATTGCTAATACTTTCAAAATTCTATTTTCTGAAATCACATTAAATTCTATTTTCTGAAATCACATCAATCCTAAATTACAAATTGATTGTAAGGCTGCATATCATGACTTCAAAGTGCCATTGCATACTTTGATAATGCCATACTATTTGTTTCAATACATTACGTTGCTTTAAATGTTTTGTACAGTAATATTAGGCAAAGTACACAAAATCTCCCTCAACTTGTAATTTTTTCCAGTAAATCCCCTTCATTTAATTTTTTACCAAAGAACCCCCTCGACTTATAACCCTTTCTAATAAATCCCCTTGTCTAATTTTTTACCAAAGAACCCTCCTCAACTATCTAAGGGGGGTAAAATAGTTTATATTTGGACCAAAATACCCTTTTATTTAAATCTAATTTTTTTTTAACTTCAAAAATTCATATCTCACAAACCATATATCCAAATATTGCAAATAATATATGCACGGAAAGCTTATAAAACAAGGATTTTAGAAATATAAGATTTGTTTAACAAAACTTTATAACCAGAGAGAAATAAACAACCTAAAAATCTGCTGCAATAATCTTATTTTATTTTTTTTTTTATAAAATACGCAATAAAATTTTCAGAATTATTTACTTTCATATGGAGCATAACATGTAAAAAGATTAGTCCCAATAGAGACCGAATATTCATTTAAAAAAAAAAAAATTGTGAGTCTATAAAAGAATGAAATACTTTGACCCAAAATATGATATATCATAAAATCGATCTTTGTTGGGGCTAAAGTTTTTATATATTCAGCTCCATATGCAATTGAATAATTTTGAAAATTTTCTTGCAAATTTCTTGAGTATTTTTAAAAAATAAAATAAAATAAGATCGTTGGAGTAGATTTTTAGATTATTTATTTCTCTCTGGTTATGAAGGTTTGTTATACAAATCTTAAATTTTTGGAATCCTTATTTCATACGCTTTCCGTGCATATATTATTTACAAATTTTAAATGTGCAAGTTGTGAGATATGAAATTCTGAAGTTCGGGAGAATTAAGATTTTAATTAAAGGGCATTTTGGTCCAAATATCAACTTTTTTACCCCCTTCAGATAGTTGAGGGGGGTTATTTGGTAAAAAATTAGACAAGGGGATTTATTGAAAAAAGACTACAAGTCGATAGGAGCTCTTTGGTAAAAAAAAAAAAAAAGATAATGGGAGTTTACTAGAAAAGGTTATAAGTCGAGTGGGATTTTCTGTATTTTGTCCCAGTAATATTGTTACGTTTGGTGTGCGAAAATGGAATGAAATACAAGTGGGAATAAAATGAGAATTGAAATGAAATGGAATCACCATTCTCATTCTATTGTTTGGTTGCAAATATGAAATGTGCAGGAATGAAATGATAATAACCATTTTAGTATTTGGTTGGACCAATTTAAAATTTACAATGTAATAAATTTAAAATTGAGTTCTTCAAAATATCCCTCTTAGTAACAAATAAATTAAATTAACAAAATGACATTCTTCAATAATTTTTTAAAAATAAATGGTGTCAGTGGAGTGGTAAATGGTGGTGGAGGTGGAAAGCGGTAGTGGTGTAAGTGGTGTTGTTGAAAGACGACAGTGGTGGCAATGGTGGAAGGCAGCAGCGATGGTGTTGGTGGAAGGTAGTGGTGGCGGTGGTGGAAGGCGGTGGCACTGGTGGTGGTGGAAGGTGGTGGCGGTGGTAGAAGACGGTGATGGGGGTGAAAGGCGGTGGCGGTAGTGATGGAAGATGGTGGTGGTGAAAACGGTAACAGTGGTGAAAGGCGGCGGTGGTGGTGGAAAGTAGTGGCGGTAGTGAAAGGTGGCGGCGGTGGTGAAAGGTAGTGGCGGTGGTGGTGGAAAGCGATGGGCGATGGTGAAAGTTGGGGGTAGTGGTAGTGGTGGTGGAGGTGGAAGTCGGTGGTGGTGGTGGTGAAAGCGGAGATAGTTACGGTAGAAGGTAGTAGTGGTTTTTGGACTTGGAACATGAGGATTTTTTTGGAAGTTGATTTTTAAAAAAAAATTACTTAGGAATGGAATGGCCTTCCAAAGGTTAAGCTGTGAAATGGATTTTCATTATCAAGAATGGATTTTCATTCTAATGGAATGACTATTCCCACTTTAAATTACATACAAAACAAATGAATAGTTGGAATAGACATTCCATTTTATTACATTCCTGCACACCAAACGTAGCATAAGTTTTTTACTAGCTGCATCATTTGTGTTTCCTTACAATCATTGTTTTAAGTAACTTGCTGCCAACTTCAGGAGCTATTATAAGTGTACAAATTGACTCGAGATGATATTAAGGAAAGATTAGTGAACTTTCTTTAAGTGAAAGGAATTATCCAATTATCCTTCTTCAATCAAATAATTTCAAATTTTATTGAGAGAATGAATTTTTTAATCTAAGAAGGATGATTTGCTATTTTAAATTAAGAGCTCATAGGGCATTTTGAATCTGAATAATAATTCTTGATGCATATGTAATTATTTTACTAAATTCAACAAACGTACAAAAAAAAAAAAAAAAAAAAAAAAAAAAAAAAAGAAAAAGAAAAAAAAATCTCTTACAATGGATCACTTTGTTATTTTGGACTCCTAATATATATATATATATACACAAAGGGGATGCATTGAGAAAAGGCAACACCCAAAACGAGCCCAAAGAACTGAGAGAACCACAAAGCCCAAACAAGGCCCACGCCCAGCCATTCCAATGAAGTAAAGCCCAACCCTAAAAACCAAGAATTGCTAAAACTAGGAGAGCTAGGGCAATAATCTCCGGTGACGCAACAGAAGCTCTATAAGAGCTCAATTCAAGCATCTCGCGGTGGAGGGAAAAAAAAAAAACACGGGAAAAAGAAGGGAGAGAAAGGGTTCGATAGGCGAAGTGTCGTGTGTGACTATTTACCTGTCAATAGGTCATCTTCTGTATGATACATGTGTCAATAAGAATGTGGATGGTCACATTTCAAAAAGTAAAACATATATCATAAATATGCGATGTATTATTTATTAAAAACTGACTATCAAAAATAGAAATGTAAATATATACGATACAATAATTAATTAACTATTTAAAAAATGTATATTAAAATGTTGTTGACATTTATATGGTAGTACAGATTTTTTTTTCATAATTTATAGTAGTACAGATTGGTAGTTGATAAAAAAAATTTAGCATTTCACTTGAATTTTTAAACAAAATAAAGCAATAACTCTTTAGAACTGGAGTTTCCCAATTTTATTTTCTTTTAAAAGGAAAGAAACAAGTGGAGCAAGAAAACATTTTGGGTTACCAATTTCATTTCCTTCTTCCTTTTTATTTATTATTTTTAATATCATTCATTCAAGAAAAAGAAAAAGCTTGGAATAAATCAAACACTATTAACAAAAGGTAAAGATTCCATTTTATCTTTCTATTTTTCCCTACTACTTCACTTTCCATTGTAAGGTCTCTCTTTACTGAAGCAATTATGCCTTGGTAGTAGTAATATCTGTACTACTTTCAAATTATGACATAGTAGATAAAAAAGTTATACGAATCTTGCAATCTAGCAGTAATAGTAATTTTTCATCTTTTAAAATAAAAGTTTGATGGTTGAAGTCTGTGTAGGATGCTGGTAAAATTCATAAATAAGAAAAGTGTTGCCAATTCATCCACTGTACTCATTTACAGGAAACAAGTTTTTATGTAGTGATCCAAAGTTACCTTCCAGTCATGATGCTGATTAAATTTCTTTCAAAAATTGATAGTAGTAGGGTCATGTAAGTGAATGATTATTGCCCAAAAAACAATATTAAAGGAACTGATGAATAAGCTATGAGCATTACCCATGCCAAGCCTCTTTCTTGTATACATACATACATAGAGAGTCAGATCAGATGCTACCTATTCCATATTCTAATAAACAGTTCAACCTTATTATGAGTTTAGTATGTCCTTGACAAAAGGATTCAATTCATTCTAAAGCTGTTGATTATGCAAGCAAAGGAAGGAGTGCTTCACTTATATAACCACTGTAGTGATAGTCCATAAAAGATGCACATCTCTAAACTTACCTATAACATATTTAGGAGAAATAATTTAATAAATAAACTTTGCTAAAACATTACTTTGAGAGTATATATGAAAATTAAGTAGCAACTCAAGAGAAAGAATACCTTGTCATAGTTTCAACAGCTTGTAAATTGCATATACATTCTAGTGTACACGAAACAAGGCTAGCTCCACCTCAAGACAATTGAGGTGTTGGCCAAAGACTCCACTTGGAAGAAAAGCTTCCTAGGAACAGCATGCTCAATGCCACTACATGTAAAAATGAGTTTTCTTTGGACCTTAATAGAGAATGGAGGCATTCACATTTTGCATAGTCTTTCAACTAGCAAAATTCGTTAACTTAAATTAATCCATTTGGAAAAGGAGCAGCCATCTAAAAATGATGTTCAAAATCATCAATGACACCATTTCAAAATACTTAAAAGTAAACATGTATAAAGATATATAGTAAACTTTCCTATTTTTTCCAAATGGTTCCTTTCCTGATGCATTAAAATGTTAATAACACTGTGAATAAGGCAATTATAATTCCAGGGAACAAAACAGGCATAAAGTGTTTAACTATATAGATTTTATTTCAATTGGAATTTGGTTATTCACCATGTATGAGGATCCCCGCTTAGCATCCATGGCTGAATAGCTAAAGTGCCCAAATTTAAATGCAAATTTGCGAATAAATTCCAATAATCATCAATTCAGTAAGGATATAGCAACATGTGACCTCAGTTTCCCTCAACTGTTCTCGATCTAGGCAAAAGAGATCAAGAACAAGACAGTATGAACAGGCAAAAGAGATTAAGGGAGTTACACTCAAGGTGATAATAATAGCCACTAAAATTTGGAGAACAAGACGGTATCAAGTTAATATTTTAAAAGAGCCGACATAACCCTAGATTTTAGCATAAATTGTCACAGGAAACAAAGGAATTTTTCTACCATTGGAGGGACAAGCTCCAGTTACCATGAGCAGCCGGTAAGCAAACGACTAGGCATCACCAACTCATAAAACAGAACCCACCAGATAAAATAAATAAATAAATAAATAAATAAAGGAAGGAAAAAAAGAGAAGAAGACATCAGACGACTGTGTTTCTAACATATTATTGCATTTCTAGTAATAATTGCGCTTTAAATAAATTTGTCTTGGAATGAATCAAACCAAAAAAACAACAGAAACAAAAATTAGGAAATAAATTTTCGTGTCAAATTGCTGATGCCTTTATTACCGTATGGACAAAAAAAATCTTACGGAGAAATGATGATAGACGAGGTCCTTATTCACGTCTTGGAGTCAAGCCGCACGACTTGTTAAGCCGCCGAACTTGTTCGTGAGGGTTACTGATGTTAAGTGTCTGAGACTTCATCACCATACTCACCATAGTGGGCGTGTCATAGCCAATGAGCCCAGTATTACTAGAGTTCCCGTCTTCTCCGCTCAGCGGCAGCGTTGGGGTTGTTGTTGAGTCACCCCTAGTTGTGGCCCTCTGCCACGAGTGCGAGCTCAACCCCGAAAGCACATAAGCTCGCCCCGTGTGTTCATATAACTCCATGGTCGCCATTCTCCTCCTTATTTCTATCAATTCAGCTTCAAGCCAGTTACAGAGACCATCCCCTGCTTGGGCAGATGCAGAAGTTAGCAGGGTTGATCTCCTGTCTGCAAGCACAGTCTGTGCACCCTCTAGATTTCCCATCTCAGCCAATTCTTGTGCTTCTGCAATACCTTCTGCCACCCAGAGGCGATTCCTTTGGCGATCAACCTCTAAGCTCACTATCATGTCTGTCGGAAACAAAACCTCAGGTCGCCGTATCTGTACTCTCTCAGGTAGAACTATCTGTACCATCTCCTTTGACACACTATCTTTGAAGGAACACACAACTTCCAACAGGGACGTCTTTTCCACCTTTTCCTTATCTACAGCCCCTGAAGCTACTGGAACTGAGAGGTAGACTAGAAATTCTTTCTCCTCGTCTGCGTATAAGTCTCCAATTTCTACAACACCATGCTGCCCCTGATGAGAGATTTCACTCAAGTATCTTCCTGAGGGTATAGATCCAATGTCCACTCCAAGTGATGTTGACCTTAAAATGAGTCGTAATTCCTGAGCTACCACACTAAGAAGACCACCTATGCACCGTGCAAAGGCATCTTGAACTGTACCAATAGATTCGATGAAGGAAAATGTGCCTCCTGATGCATCAGATATTGCGTGCATGGCAACAGAATCATGGTCTAAGCCAAACCCAAATGTGTGGACCGGAATAGTTGGTGGCCTGATCTCATCTACAACTTCACTGCTGTTGGGGCAGATGGATACAGGTAATAGATTCAAATAATTCAAAACCTGCCTTGGATTTGAGGAAGACTGCTTATGTAGACTCCGGCGCTGGTTAGTGTTATCACAGTTAAAAGTATCTTTGCCATCAGATAAGAGGATGATGCTTGCAACTGGATTATGTTCACGCCGTTCTTCAAGAATCCGAACCCCTTTCTTAAGTCCTTCAACAATATTGGTCCCACCATTTGCCTGAAGGGAATTAATGGCAAAGATAGCATCTTCACGGCCTGTTTCGGACATCCTGCGTAGCGGGAAGATTCTTTGGGCACCCGATGAGAAGGCAACAATAGCAAGTCGGTCAAATGGGCTTAAGTTTTGTATGACAAATTTAACAGCACGCTTGAGAAGGGAAAGCTTTGAGCCAGCCATGCTGCCACTAATATCCAACACTGTGACAAGGTCGATAGGTGCACGCTCGAGGCGACGGGCATCATCAAGAAGAGGCGGTGCCCGCACACCGACAAGAACAGCAAATGTGGAAAAGGAATCTGAAGCAGCAATTGAAGGAAGCTCTGGGATGGCCTTGAGAGTTAATGTCTGGGGGTGAGCAATTGAGGTGGGTTCTGCTGGGATAAATGGAAGGGACTCGTCATCAGAGAAGTGGCGGGGCTCATGGGGAGGTAGAGGTGGTGGTATAATATTACGAGGGATGTTGGCTCGGAGACCTTCAAGTAAGCTGTGAGCAACATGGCCTTGGCCATTACATTGAGGATCAACACTGTTGCTAGGGCATTGGAATGGGATGTCTTTCCACTTGGAGCGACAGATGGGACAAAGGTGGTTTCCATGCTTAACACTGCTTGCAATGCAACTAAAGTGGAAGGAATGGGAGCACTCGGCTGTGAAGATGGCTTGGCCCTGCCCTGGTTTCACTCTTGTCAAGCAAATGGCACATGTTTTCTGCAAGAAAAATCATATTCACAAAGCAAGATCATTTATGAAACTACCATATAAGTGCCAACCTGAAAAAAAAAAAATAAATAAATAATGGGTGAAACTTATATGATATTGTATCTTCGCACTGCTGTTACAAAAAGTGGGATACAAAGCTTTATTAGGACAATATTTTTTTTTTTCACTGTATTACGGATTGACTGGCCAGATAAAATACCAATTTACATGGGTATTTACATGCAATGAAAGTATCAAGCTAAAAAATATATGCCAAAATTTTTCATGAAACTGTGAACTACTACTGTTAGTATGTTTAACAAAACTGATGACATCTAACTGTTCCATCCCCCAATACACTTGCTTATGGAACCATTCTAATTTGAATACAAAAACAATACAGGTCCCCCCCCCCCCCCCCCAACAAAAATAAGATAGATACACATATACTTAATTAAATTAACTGAAATTTTGCCAAAAAGTTAGAATTGATTGACGTCCAGCAAGAAAGAAAGTGATAGATAATGGCTGACAATTAATTTGTGCTGTACATGTATTGACAGCTGGCACAGTTACAATCAAATGCAAATGTTGTAGAAATGACCCGCATCAGCATAATCCAAACTTGAAATTTGATAATTACAGTTGCAATAATAGAATCCAATTAATAATGAGATAGACGCCGACAACCTCAATCCTGATAGGCTGAAATTAAACCCTAGATTAAATGCTAAAGTTAAAGACATAGGAAGTCAAATGAAAGGCTGGCCATGACAGTTCCAACTCAATCCTAATCCGACAAAATAATGTACCACTAGAACCTAGAGTCAGCTGGTTCTCAAAGTCGAGTGGATCCATCCACTCTACGTTGACAAACTGTCGGTTGGAAAAAGAAGTAACAGTCACTGTTTCCACGACCTTTACAATTCCATCATACGTGTGACTCACATGTGTGATATTACACCACATGAGAAAACGATGAGCTAAATTATAATAATAATTAGACGAGTATCTCATCAAACAAGAAACGTGGTCAAATACTAAAAAGTCATTTTTCAAAGGAAAAAAGAATAAACGACGGAGGGCATTTTAGTACAATAAAATTATAACATTTCAGTTTGGAAGCTGAGAAAATTAGGCCACTTTCGAGGCAACAACGAGTATCATTGATGTTTTTTCGCGGCAAAAAAAAACAGTTAGCCGGATAATTTAGTTACGGCCAGAAATATATCTCCGGCAAAAAAAAAATCAGATTTGGAATATAAGAAAACTCCTCGAAACGGTATTTCCCGCGAGAAATTGAGATTTAGAATATAAGAAAAATTCGAATCAGATAATGAACTAAAAAAAGAAAATGTAGTAATCGGAACCTAACGAGAATATGAGGGAAAGTGGGGTGACCTTGGAGGATCGAGTGCTGATGCTTCTGGACAAACGCGAGACAGAGGAAGAAGATAAGCGAGGCGTGGTGGATCGAGAGTCGGATTCGGAAATATTGGCCGATAAATCCAACGGAGGTTGAGGGGCGGTTTCGGATGCCTGGGTTCGGAAAGAGAGTTTCATCGATAGTGATTTCTTCAGTTTGTTCCACGCACCGTCCATTTCGCCTTCTCTTGAGAGAGAAATATAGAGAGATGGGTTTGGATGGAGACTTGGGTGGGGATCGTTCGGAATGTTGTTAGGGAACTAGGGTTTGTTAATGGGCATAGTTTTGTACAGATATGAGAAGAGAAGACAACAGAAGAGAGAGAGAGATTGGGGTAAAGTTGCAAGTTCTAACTAAAATGGCTTTCCGTATCCGATTCTGTCTATAACATGTCGAATGGTGGGTGGTAATTTAATGTGTGTGTCTGTGTGTGTGTGTATACATATATATATCATTTGAGAAGGTTTAAGTTAATGTAGGGATAAAAGTGAGTATGTGAATTTTTGGCACGGTTATAAAAAAGGGAAAATAATAAATTAAATTAAATTAAATTAAATAGATTAACTTGATAATTCAATCAATTATTTCTTGCCAAGGTTATAAAAAAGGAAAAAAGAAAAAAAAGAAAGTAATAAACTTAATTAAATCAAATAGTTCTACTTGATGGTCCAACCGATTTCGATAGCGTTTTTTAGTTTCATACCTTCATAAAGGAGACCAGAATGTGCCTATTACCCCCACATTTGAATTAATTTTAATAACATTTTTATCATCACGTTAAAAGTAGAATGTATCCATTATCCATATTTGACTCAATGTTATAAAGTCAAAGTAAAATCAAGTTGCCGCAATTTGATAATTCAATATGGGATTGGAACGCTATTTTCAGATCTTAAACTCAAATTTCAATGTTTGAGGTCAGTTCAAATTGGTCCTTTTAGAAAAGAGAAAAAAGAAAATAAACAAAATAATTAATGGGAAAGATTAACCCTGTTTTTTTTTTTTTTTTTTCTTTGGAAAAGTAAAAATTAACATTCCCATTACTATGTTAAATAAGTAAATTACCACAACTTGTTAATCCAATGGGTTTGGACATTATTTTTAGATCTCTAAGTCATTAGAATTGGTTCTTTTTTAAAATTTATGTCCCATTTAAGTAGTGAGAAAAATTAACATTCTCACCTTCGTGAGAAAAACACAACCTCACTAAATATTATAAACTTTGATTCAATGAAAGTCATTTAATATTCTTCCAAGTCATATTCTCACATTTGATTAAAATAAAAAAAAAACGAAGAGCTATTAGTGAGCAAAGCTCAAGCAATGTCAACTGCAGCAGTACGGCGAGAGACTCCAGCTGCTGAGGAAGGATCTTGAGGTAGAGCAATTACGAAGACAACCCAGTTTGAGAAGTGATGTAATGATGCTATTGATCTTGCCCAAAACCATTCTTTGTGATGTAATGATGCCATTGATCTTGCCCAAAACCATTCTTCGAAAAATCGATCATTTCATTCTTCCCATGTATGGTAAATCACAGCTGAGAAGCGAATCTTCCTTAGCATGTTGGTTGCAACGTCTGCCATCATCCATTGGTTACTGATCCACAAGATCAGGTCATCCCAATTTTGAAAATTGCAGTAGAACATGCATCTATCTTGAATGAATATCCGAATTGGGGAGCTGAAAGTGTTGAAGAATATGTGACTCTGTGATTCCGTTTCAACATGACAGAGCACAGATATTTTGATGATGACACATTACCTTGTTGTCAAGTGTTGATGGTCTAATTTGGACAGCTAACCAAGTATTCGTATTAAACTTCATTCTTGGAATGGTTGCAGAATGCCATACAAGATTGTACCACGGCACTGAGCTCCAGAGACTGCAAGATGGGAGGTGGTGTGCTTCAATGTCATAATTTATAAACTTTGGATTTGGACCTCTTTTCTCAGATCTAGAACTCAAATAGTTAAATATGAAAGTCATTCGAATTGGTCAATTTTTTTTGAAAGCAGGGGTGGCGCTCTGGGTCTGAGCTGGCCTCATAGTCGTGTGGATCCCACAACATTCATTTTATAGATGTTGATAGAAAATGAATCACTCTCTCACCGAATTCCATAACAAGCAGCAATACACCTCCAACAAACAAACAGGTTGGTAAAGTCAACTGTTACTTTAGAGTTTAGTCTGAACTATAGATCTCTCTCGCAATGTAGCCAAACTAGGGCTTGTAGTTTAGGGGGTCAAAAAAGGAGGAAAAAAGTGTTTTGCATTGTTGAAGTGTAGAATGGAATTGAATAGGCTGATTTATCTTTACAGGCAGAGGATTCTAAAATTGAATTGGCTATAGTATTTTTATATACTTAGAAATTAATGGAAATGACATCAATCTTTATTACTACTATTGCATCATACAATCAATTTACACCACCAACCCATATGAGCCCCAATTGGGCTTTGTACCTTGATATTACCAATAGCAGCCATGAACCAACCATACAATTTATCTCAACAAACAAAAACAAATGCACATATATGTATATAAATATATATTTCTGCACAATATATGTAAGAAAAACAAACAACAAAAAGCCTTAAGGTGGAAGGGCATCATCATCATGAATTGGTTGGGTGGCACAAGTTCATATTTGAGGAGATTTAGACATTGGTAGAGTTGTCTGTCTTGAAATAGGTTGGAGGAGGTGAAGCAGTGCCTGGTGGTGGGGTTGGGACCCCAAAAACCTGGGCATGGGTGCGAATGTCTTGTCTCCCCTTGGCTTTTCCCAGGAAATAACACCCGAAACCAAGCAGTAACGAAAACAGAATCAGAGGCAGAGAGATCACAACTACCATACCCATATCTGATGAACAAATTTGGATATAGAAAGACAGTGAATGAGAGAAGGTTTGGTTAACAGGAGATGCGTGTAGAAGGGACGACTCTGGTGACAAAATTAACAGGGGAAGAAGAAGCTCAGCTCACTGCCAATCTGGAAGTTTCAGGTTCTCTCTCATTTAGAGAAGTGTGTGTGTGACTGTGTGTCTCTATATTGTGAGTTTTAAAAGCGTTGCTAACGGTCAACTTTCTAACGGATACTTTCCACTGGGAGCCCAATGCCAGCAGAGTAGAATAATCAAAATAAATAAAGTTGTCGCCACACGGGCATCCACTCATCCCCAAAGTGCTTGCGCAAATTTAAATTGAGCAAAAGAGAATTTTAGCGGATGATGACACTATTGGGGTATTGCTTGTCATAGTAGTACTATTATTTTAGTCTCTGTTATCTTTGCAAATTACTATAGTGATGTAATCACGTGAGATAGCTTTGGGTTTTGTTTATCCATCATATTCAATTGGCCACCTATTTATTTATTTATTATTATTTTTTGACAAGGCCAGGTAACAATGTCTTCTCATACACATTAGGTTTTTTTTGTTTTATCATACATTGATCATTTCAAAGATTAAGAGGACAAGAGCGGGCCGAGGCGGGAGGCAAATGTGTTATCATATCATTTGAACAAGGCATTCTCATTTTTCTTCTAATCAAACGCTTTCGACCTATTCAAACTAGGGGTGCAACTTGGGCGGGTTAGCCCAGCCCAACCCGAGTCCAGCTCATGAATTCTAAAATCTGGACATATAAATTTACAATTCGGGTTTCAGTCGGGTTGGGTTTTTTCAAAACCCAACCTTATTCGGTTTGGGCTGGGTTCAACCCGAACCCAACCCGAAAGCCCAAATTAAACATTTCATTAAAAAAAAAAAAAAAATAACAATAAAGAAACCCTAACTTTCTCTCTCCTCATCCTTCTCTTCTCTCTGGCCTTCCTGTCGATTTCCTGTGAAACTCGAAACGCGGTGAAGCTCTCAGCGACTCCCTCTATCTCATATCTCTCAGCGACTCCCTCACCTACCAGCGATTCCCTCTATCTCATATCTCTCAGCGACTCCTTCACCTCCATCTCACATCTCTCGGGGACTCCTTCTATCTCACATCTCTGGTGGGTTGAGGTAATAATTAACTTTTTCGATCTTTAAATTATGCTTAATAATAGTATTTGATTTCATGGATTTTCACAAAGTCACATAACTCTGTTGCATTTTCAAAGCGATTAATGTTTAACAAATCGTGGACGTGAAAGCTTTGTACTGCTGAATTGAATTTTGTTCGAGTTTTTTTGATCTCTCATATACTTTGTTTATGTTAATACATTTCTATAGAGGCTAAAGCTTAACTAAGATGTGAAGCCCATAACTATTCTATCCATTGCATCCCATTTTCTGTTCAGATCTGGGTTTTGAATTTGGAAGTTTATATGTCTATCCATCTGTAGTTTCTAAATTCATATATTCTTCTTGTTTGTGTTGCGGTTCATCAAAATTGTTAAATATTCATGCAGTTTTTCCTGGCTTTCTTTCTTTATTTTTTTTGTTCTCCAGCTTATTAGAGATGTGAACATAGCTATTGCAGTTGAAGCCATTCAAGCAATTGGGAATCTTGCAAGGGGCCTAAGAGCCCATTTTTCTGGGAGTTCACGTTTCCTATTTCCTGTTTTACTTGTAAGTGTGTCATTGAATATTAAAAATACTCACACAGCCCAAAAGCTTTGCATGAATACGTGAGAAGGAGATGAGCATTTTTGTTCATTTTGCTTATGTGATAATATTTATACCTTTTTCTTGCCACTCCCTTATCTGTTTGTGTGTGTGTGTGTGTGTGTGTGTGTTTGTGCTAATCAATTGCTTATTTGGTAAATCCATATATATATATATATATATATATATATTTAAAAAGACCTTAATTACTCTCCCAAACTCTGTTCAGAGAGAGGAAATACCACTAAGATTAAAAATGTACATTAAAAGGAGCTTTTAAATAGATGAACTGTTACAATTTTAGTTAAAATTTCTTGCAAATATTTCTAAATTTCCTTTGACAATGTGAGTTGAAATCAATAATCTTCTAAATGCATAATGTTGGAACTTCTAGTATGTGGTCTCAGTGACCACAATGAAGTTGTCTTTCTATTATTCTCAGGGACTTGAAGTTTTGTAATGTGGGCTTAGCAACCACATTTTCTGCCTTTCTGTAATGTCAATGTTTCTAAAACACCAATTGAGTACAATTGAATGGAAAGAGTAAAGTATAAGAAGAGATTCTAATTTATAGACTGTGGGACAGATTGGTGGCTTTTTAGAAGTCTGAATGGTATAACTTTGTCTAAAAAAAAAAAAAAAAAATCTAAATTGTGTTTGTCTTGATGTTGAGGAATAAGAACTAGAATTACGTTAAAATTAAATTAAAGATTACTATTATTTTTATTATTATTTTCTTGGCTTATTAATTTGTTTATGGTTTTTCAATTTTTTTTTTTTTTTGGCTGTTGCATAGGAGGATTATGTGCTTGTTATTCCTTAGGATATTAGAAAGAAGTCCATGATTGCAACTATTAAGGTGATTCTCTCTCTTATACTTGTTTGTAAATTCCTGCTAATTATGTTAAACTCTTGTTGGCATTTTGGCTCCCACATTTACAGTAGAAATCGAAGTATATTATGGTAGAAATTGAGTTTATAAGTTTATAATAAGCCTGAGAAGAATATAGTTTATAAGTTTAGATTCAGAAGTATATTACGGTAGAAATCGAAGAGAGAAATATAGAAGAAACAAATAGAGAGAGACATCAATTGATTGGGAAAGATAGAAACAATATGGAAAGAGTATCCCAGAGAGAGAGAGTATAATTTTTATTGAGAAAGGGAAAAGGGTTTAACTTTCCCCAAAAACACCCAAAGATTGTGCAGTAAACTTTCACAATTAAACTTTCACAACAAAAGTAAATTGTTCTCTTCATTTTTTATTTTTTATTTTGTGTAATATATTTATTATTCAAGTTTGTAATTGTTAGATATTTTATATATTTTTATGTTTTTGCAGCAAGTATTTCTTGAAGATGTCAGACATGGAAGAAAGTAGATTTGAAACCCAACCAACTTCAAACTCATCAACTTGTTTTGAGGTAAATCGTAAAAAAAGGAAAAAACCCTATAAGACTACATCTTTTGTTTGGGACTATTTTACAAGAGAATTGTTAGAGGATGGATCATACATGCAAGCTACATGTAATTATTGTCACAAACTATATAATTGTCCGAGTAGTCATGGTACTACTACCCTTAGTAGGCACCTTAATAGGTGTTGTGATTATCCTTATAATAAGGATAAAGTTGGAAAATTCTCAGCATCAACCTAAAACCAGGATCCCAATTGGACATTTAACCAAGATGTTCTTCGACAAGAACTTGCTAGGATGATTATTGTTGATGGATTGCCATTTAGTTTTGTGGAAAAAGAGGGTTTTAAAAGGTTTATGAGTTATGCAGAACCAAGATTCCATATGATTTCACGAACCACAATTGCGAAGGATTGTATTGAATTATATTTAAGTGAAAGAAATAAGTTGAAGACACTTTTTGAACTTTCTGCTTCACGTGTGTGTCTCACTACCGATTTATGGACTTCTATTCAAAACCTTGGGTACATATGCCTTACGGCTCATTTTATTGATAGAGATTGGAAGTTACACAAGAAAATTATAAATTTTTGTGTGCTTCCAACTCCACATCGTGGTGAGGCTATTGCACAAGCCGTGGATACATGTTTATTAAGTTGGGGTCTTGAAAAAGTGTGCACTATCACCGTAGATAATGCAAGTTCAAATGACACGGCGGCAGCAAAGTTGGCACAGAAATTAAATAAAAGAAATGGATTGTTGCTGAATGGGGAATTATTTCACGTAAGGTGTTTTGCACATATTTTGAACCTTATTGTGAATGATGGAATAAATGAGGTAAAAAAGTCCATCATTCGTATTCGTGAGTTTGTGAAATATGTAAGGAGTTCTCCTTCAAGATTGCAAGCATTCAAAAAATGCGTTGAGGATGAAAGAATTTGGAGTTTAAAGTCTTTATGTTTGGATGTTCCTACTAGATGGAACTCAACATATCTAATGTTGAAATCAGCCCTTGATTTTCAAAAGGCACTTGAACGTTTAGCAGAGCAAAATCCTAGTTTGGGATTACGTTTGGTGGAACAAGATACAAGTTTGGAAGTTTCTGAGGAGCTGATGAGTGAGGATGATTAGTTGAAGATAAGGGATCTTTCTAAATTTTTAGAGTACTTCTACAATGTCACAAAGCGCATATCAGGGTCCAAATATATTACTTGTAATAAATACTTCCGTGAAGTGTTTGGAGTGCAAACTGTCCTCTTAAGATGGACAAAAAGTGAGGATTTGCGTTTTAGAGAAATGGCTATTAAGATGAATGCCAAATTTGAGAAGTATTGTAATATTCGAAAGTGGAATTTGATCTTGATTATTGCTGTGGTTTTAGATCCATGTTTTAAGATGAAGTATGTGAAGTTTTGTTACAAGAAATTATATTCATCGGAAGAAGTGAATGAGATCATTGGAAAGGTGAAGAGTTTGATGGAAAGGCTTTTCAGACACTACAAATCATTGGAAATAACTTCCCCTACAGGCTTTGGTGCTCATTTAGCTCAAAACCTTGAAGATGTTTATGTGCCCAATGAAAAAGAAGATGGTTTGGAAGAAGATAGAGATTGGAAAATTTTTTTGAGAGAAGAGGAAAATGAGGTGGCTAAATCTGAGTTGGATAGATACTTGGAAGATGGTGTGGAAGAAGATCAATCAAATTTTGACATTTTAAGTTGGTGGAAGGGAAAATCTTCTACATATCGTGTACTCTCTCTTATGGCCCGGGATATTTTGGCCATTCCCTTGTCAACAGTTGCTTCTGAATCTGCTATTAGTACGGGAGGTAGATTGCTTGATAGATTTCGAAGTTCTTTAACTCCGAAAATTGTAGAAAGTTTGATTTGTGCTCAAGATTGGCTAAGAGCTTCACCTAATCCAGTTGAGATTGAAGAGACGTTGGAGGCTCTTGAGGTTGTCGAACAAGGTATTGAATAATTACCCTTTTACTTGTTCATATATGTATAAATTATACAGTATAATAGGAGAATCTTACATATTTTTAATTTGCATTTTGTAGGAATTGAAGAGACGTTGGAGGCTCAAAATTTCCTCTGATCTTTTTCATCTATGGATGACAAATAGTCATGATATGCTTGATCAACCAAAGTGCTGCTCATATATTGAGAAGGAAACTGAGAGTAGATAGACTGTTTGAGGAAGAGTTGCCTGTTAGTAATGAACTAGCCGTATCTGTTTTTAATGTTTGAAATTTTAATTCTAAAAAGGAGAAAGTATTCAGTAGCAAAATATAATAGTCCATTTCATATCAATGGTATTAATTTTGACATTGTTAACTTTTATCTTGTTATTTTGCTGTTCACAAGAGTATGCCCTTGGTTGCTCTCTGTACATTATTGTCAGACCCTTGTTCTTCTGTGTTGCTGAATGACAAGAACAGTGCATTAGATTATTCTCATATCTTTATTTATTTATTTATTTATAATTAATCCTCCTTATTATGGTTATACAAGTATTCAACTTTCAAGTTGTCTGATGGAATTGTTATGTCTCTTTAGGTACTCCCTTTGTTTACCAGTGTTTCACCTTCTTATTTTATTTTATTTATTTATTTATTTTTTTGGCTTTCATCCTTGGAAATAGCAATGGAAGATTGAGGTGAAGCTGTTATAGGTTGCAATTTATTAGGAGATACAACTCTTTGATTGGTTAAACTTTCAACCCAGTGAGATTAGAGAATGTATCAATACATTTTAGGATAGTCACTAAATTTAAATCAACATAAAATAGCATCAGTAGCTCATTGGCAAATGCTACATGTGTAATAGTCATTTCCTTGCATCCCCAATGATACCTAAAGATGGATTAGAGGAGGCGAGTTTGGTGATAACAGAAGAGATGATATCCATTGCAATGACAAAAAGTAAAGGTGGAAAAGGGTCCCAAAATTTTTTTTTTTTTTATTTTAAGGGAAAAAAAAAAAAAAATCAACCCGTGAACCCAACCCGACCCGACCGAACATATTTGGTTCGGGTTATAACCCAACCCATGTTGGGTGCAATTCGGGTTGACCCAACCCAACCCGATTCGGGTTGAGGTTGGGTTAGGGCTGGGCTGGGTTGGGCTAGCCCAAGTTGCACCCCTAATTCAAACGGACCATTAAGGATGAATGTGAAAAGCCTCACAATTAATTGAAACAAAATTTCATACCGCATCTATATAGACGTGGATTATACTGAATTAATGAGTAAATGCACAAAAAATTACCTGATTTGTAGATGATTATATTTGAAAAACTGGCGAAGTAGTTACAATTACAGGTCTATGTGACAATTATGGTCTTCAAATCATACCATCTCACAATAACTATGCATGTGTGTGTAGTTTCAACTATTCAAATTTAGCAATCATCTGAAGCTCAAAATGTTACAACAAATGAGAAAAAAAAAAAAAAAAAAAATCCTTTTATACAAGCATTATTACATAATCATGCATGTACTAGTCATAAATTGAAGTGACGAGGTTCAAACCTCACCTTCCTTCTCGAATAATCTCACTAAGCATTGGTTCAGTAAGATTAATTGGAGAGGGTATAGCATCAACTACAGTGCTTGGATTGTTATTTTGGCCATCATGTTGGTTGTTACTACTCAGAGATGCAGATGGGGTTGAAGTTTCGTCGTGTAGAAAGCTACTTGTTATATCTTTGAAATCCCAATCTGTTAAATAACTGGGCTTTGATGTAACACTGCTTATTTCAATGTCTCCGGCAAGCATGGCCACCACGCGTGACAGGGGGGGCCGCATAGATGGTGACGCCTGAGTACACAAAAGGGCCACTCCTATTATACGTGTGGCTTCACTTTCATTAAACTCTGTTAAGGTTGGATCCACCAGCTCCAAACTTCGGTTATTTTCATGTAGATTCCAAGCCTGTAAATATTATACAATTAACGCATAGAAAAGCAACAATATGTTCTTTAACCATCATATTTATTGCAAAACAAATAATAAATCTTTTTAACATACCCATTCAAGAAGATAAATTTTCTCGGTGACCAAGCTATTGTCAGAGTTTGGTCTTCCACTGAGGATCTCTAGAGCAACAACCCCAAATCCAAACACATCAGCTTTTTCCGTCAGGTGTCCACGCATTGCATACTCCGGTGCCAAATAGCCACTGTAAGTTCATGGAAAAGAGGTTCAATGGAGATTAACTGGATAAAGGAATGTGAGCAGCTCACTTCATTTTGGACTTTCATGGATCCAAATCCAATGATATGAAGACCATATTGTATCTTCCAAATTCACTGGGTACCAAAAAATACTATATGACTAATGAATTGGAACACAAATGCAATCAAATGCCAACTGGTCCAATTATTAAAATACCCCCCATTTAAAAAAATAAAAAATAAAAAAATTACATCTTACATTAGATGGCAGTTATCAACCCACCATAAATTATAGAGAAATTGATTCTCAAACACCAACCTCCTTTATCCTTATGCATGCACTTTTCTCTTGTAATTTAGATTATACTACAAGATAATTCTATAATATTTATTTTCAGAATTGCTAATAAAAAATCCTTACGAGAACTACATTATCAGAAAATACTTTGATCCATTTATAGGCCTATTTGGACATAATTCAAAAATCCAAGATTAGCAATTAAGGAAACAATCTTTGAAAGGGGTTAAAAATGATGATTGATGAGCTTACATAGTTCCAGCAACTCGAGTGCTAATGTGGGTTTTCGTGTCATCATATAGTTTGGCCAATCCAAAATCTGATAACTTGGGGCAGATTTCTGCATCCAGAAGAATATTACTAGCCTTGACATCACGGTGTACAATTCTTGGCCTCGACTCTTCATGAAGATAAGCTAGTCCTCTTGCAGTTCCCAAGCATATACTGAAACGCGTTGGCCAGTCAAGATGCAAATTGTTGTTTCCTGCAAAAAGCAGCAAGACACATTCGATTGAAATATAATAAGAGTTAGAGACCAACTGGTAAGTTTTGGTGAATTACATGTACGAAAGAGTGACTAAGAAATTTCCAAAAAATATATTACAAATATGTTACATGCATTAGCAAAGTTGACTTGGAGAAAAGCAAATATATTACCAAAAAGAGAAACATGGAATTTAATGGAAATTTTCATACTACACACACCCCACAAATGTCTGCTACGGGGTTCAAACCCTCACATCCCCTTTTGGAGGGGAGCAGTTATACCGCCTAAGCCAATGGCCCAGTAAAATCATTTTAACATACTTGAGAATACTATATGAAATAGTATTAATATCCAAAATGGAACATGTTAAGAACAATGTGAAAGTCGCACAGTTCTTTTACTTTATACTATTTCTTATTATTCATATGGAAATAAAGTCAGAGGTAGTATAAAATGTGCAGTGATTGTTTAATAAGTAAATGTATAATGAGGAAATTTCCTCATTTCCATACCAAAAAGTGCTTGGTCAAGGCTCTTATTCTCAAGATATTCATAGACCAGCAACCGTTTAGTTCCTTCAATGCAGCATCCATACAATTTCACGAGGTTCCGGTGTTGCACGGCAGAAATGGTAGCAATCTCTGCTACAAATTGACTCTTTCCATGGTGAGATGCTACTGCAAGTTGTTTCACGGCTACCACTCTCCCATCAATTAAGGTGCCCTGCAAAACGTAAAAATTTAGTAACATTAAAGTTTTGATCTTTTCTCTGTTCTTTCTTTTTACCATAAAAACAAAGAACGGAGGCACTAAATCTTATGAAAAAAATCACTTATAGCTTTACCTTGTAAACAGGTCCAAAGCCCCCTTCCCCAAGCTTTTTTGAAGGATTAAAGTCTTCGGTCGCAGTCTTCAACTCTGCATAACTAAATGTGTTTACTCTGGGGCCTATTCCTAGAAGCTCTGCAGATTAATGCAACAAAAAAGGCAAGGTATAAAATCAGGAATGGGAAACCAATGAATATTAACACTCTTTTATAATTTATTACAGCATATATTATTAAATTTCTAAATTATGGAAATTGTGAACCATGCCCGACCTAATTCTTGGAAAATGGTATCACAAGAAATATAAGAGAAAAGTCATGCTGACCAATTACAAGAAATGTACAGCTGCAGTCAATATATCTATATATTTAGTGCTATAAGCACAAGAAGTGGGGGTTTGGCAGTACCAATTCTAGGATCTAAACCAAAAAGAAAAAAACTAAATTTAGTGACTTTAAGAGGAAGTGAAATAAATTGAATCAATTGATATCAATATACATTGCTTAGGTTTTATAGTAGCAGTACCAGCAGCAGTAGTAATATGACAATACCTTCCTCATTGTCAGCATTTGACCCTTTCCTTTTCATGTATATAACAACAGTTAACAATACTAGACTGACAACTGCAACAGCAACTGCAATACCAACAATCAACCCAGTCTTGCTCTTCTTTGATCCAGTTGTTGGTGGAATCCCACTAACAGTAGGTACGAAGTCTGAGAAAAATAAATCAGTTATAGTAGTATTTAGTAGCAGAGAAGGGTTTTTAAAAGATCTTGTGTTTTTAAGAAGGAAATATACAAGGAAAAAAAAAAATCATGGAAGCTATCTTCAAAATTCTGTTACCTGAAACAGCACTGAGAGCCGAAATGGATGGCCCATAATCACCTTGTTCAGGTATGCAGCAAGTCCCCTTCCCAGCCCAAAACAGATGAATTTCAAGATAGTTCTCTGATACAGTGACATTGAAATCTTTCTGAATTGCTCTCTCAACTCCACCTGCCTCTTTTGATATATCCAAGTCCTTCAGTCGGAGAATCCCCTGGAGAACCAACTCTTAATGTCAAAATATGTTCATAAAACTGTAATAGCAGAAACTAGATTAAAGCAGGGAAAATGGCAGTTTCCAATCAGAAAAATGCCTAAAATTTGATTTTAATGGGAATCTTACTTGAATGTAAATATCAAAGACACGCCTACCAAGACTCTCCCAAGTTTGTGCGCTTCTATCATTAAAAAGAATTTCAGCAAACAGCAGGCTCACAGTGTAAGCTCCATTCTCAAGTCCTAAACCATAGTATCTGAGCGAACTCGGAGATATCCTTGAAGTCTGGAAAAGCTCTGGAGTGTCTGTGCCAATAACTTGTGCCAAGGTGGTATCAATGTAAGTTTGATTATCTCTTTCAGAAAAAACACCAACATTGCTGACAGCCCATTTTTCTGTATTGGTCACATAGTATGATGCCGGGCCAAGGGTAGAGTTTTCAGTCTCATACAGTATACCATCCGCAGCTCTCATCTCCATGCCACCACATTTGATTGAGAAGTTGGCATCTACAAAAAAACAATATCAAAGCATCAGTCATGATCTTTAACCAAGACTTTGACATTGAAGTACTCCCTAACAAAATCCAACATATAAATCCTTACGTAATAACCAAAAAAGCTTATTTGGGATGTTGAAAGCAAAGTTAATATGTTAAATTCACATGCCTTGTCACAATGTATTTGATTTCACCTAGTGTTTTCCTCTTTAGCAAGGACATGAAGGAGTTCGACAAAAACCCTCATGTGAAGAAAATCAGCAACCTTTCCAAATGCAAATAGCATAACCTCTTCCTGCATCCTCAAAACAGTGGACTGACCCTACTTATGAAGGCTCAAGAGAGTTGTATGGAAACTTTGGTTCTACAGTCTTGAAAGTTCCCTTCATTTTTCTGTTAGGATTTTGTCTCAACTCCTTTTTTCACCTCCCTTCATAACTAACTCCTATTGTTGTTCAGTTTCTCTCTTTGGAGCTTTCATGTACGATAGGGATTTGTGATATCCTAACCATGTGTCCAACAACAAATTCAGTTCAGGGCTCAATAAAGAGGGTCAACCTCTCATTGAACGAAAGTTTTGGAGTGAGAGAATTCAGGAGTATTGATAAGTGCTGAAAAATGCATTATTCAGCCCTTAATCTTCATTAGTTAGTAACTTAGTTTATCTTTACCTTCCCGTTCTAATCGTAATTTGTTTCATTCTTTACTTTTAGACTTTGGATATTAAATAGGATTAATTCCAGTGCCTTAGAGATTGATAGATGTCAAGCCTTGGAAGAGCAATGAAAAGAAGCTCAAAGTCAAAGTCAAGAGAAATCCAATCATTCGGATTGCGTTCTGACTATGTTCAGACTCCGCGCATTCGGACATCTGACCCGCGTGATCGGACTGTGGTGCGAAAATCATGTTTTAAGCCTTGGTTCAAGGGGGCTCGGGGTGCAATCCATCAGGTGTCCTTGTGCATGTATTCTGACCATTTTTGGATCCTAGGAGTCACATATAAATAGAAGATAGACCCAATTTGCAAAGGGTTAGACATTTTAGAAGATTGAATAGACAAATTGGACTCTTTCTCTCTACATTCTCTCTCTAAGGAAGAAGAAGAAGAAGAAGAAGAAGAAGAAGATGAACCCAAGCTTGGAGATGGATTGTGAGACCACCATGATGACATCTACCTTCTCCATGAGTGGCTAGTTCTTCACTTAGGGCTTGGATGAGCCCTAAGCTTGTGTAATTAAACCTTTTGTCTTTCAATTTTGGGGATTATGAATTGTAATTAGTGCTTGGTCTTGTAAATTCAAACTTGGTTGTACCAAGGTTTATATTGTTAATCCTTTTAATTGATTCTCTATTTTGATTACATGTTGTCTTATGTGTGATTAATTGAGGGTTAATCTCTACATTGAGTACTCTTTGTAATTGTGCTTAGTGATGGCCATACATGGTTTCTATTGGATACAACTGCTCTTAGTTTGATGGATTATGCTTAGTCTTGATGGGTTGTGCTACACCTTAGCGTACTTGTAGTTAGGTAGACAATTCATGCTTGATTTTGATAGTTCATTCTTCTTCATTGCAATTTGTATTATCTTCTTGAATGTTGATGTGTGCTTGTAGCCACATTTCTATTACAATATGTTTTCTCTATTAATTGAAGGCATTTGGTATAATTACACGAGTTTAGTGGTGTAATCCATACCCTAAGTCTCTCTCTCCTTATCACCTAATACAAGTTTACTTTAACTTTATTTCATTTGCATGATCTACATAGTAAAATCATCATTAGTATAATCAAACCAATCACTATCTTTTCAATCTCACGCGCCATTGATGTTAAGTTAAATTCCAAGCCAATAATCCCAGTGGACGATCCCTTTTCACTATACTAACGTATAGTTGTTTAGTGGTTTTATAAATATAAAAGTTGATGTCCCATTTGCCATATATAAACATCTATTTTGATTGACACACTTCAGTGTAGCATCAAGTTTTTGGCACCGTTGCCGGGGATTGACGGTTCTATTGGAATTGAATAGTGTCCATTTGATTGCTAGTAGGATTCATCTCCTACCATTTTCTTATTATTGTTTCCATGTGCAATTAGGTACTTGATTGAAAGAGAAGCAAGCTTTGGGATCACGGCATTGTGCTTTGGACCTTTTGTGAGCGTATCTTGAACTCTTGAACTCTTATTGTGCATTTGTCTTGGCTTGATTGTGGGATAGTCCTTGTTGAGGCTATCAATTGCTTTTAATTCTTGTTCAAGCATAGGTCCTAGTAGAGGCCATTTTAAATTTTGCATTGTTGAATTGAGGAGAACGGGATCAATGTCTGTGGATGTTTTGGTGGTGAAGTTGTTGTGATTGTGTTGTTGTGTGCTTGTTGTGTATGCTTGGAAGAAGATCTCTTCATAATCCTCTCATTCCTCTAGACTAAAAAATTGAGTCTTCCCTTAGGAAATTAAGAGATCGTGAGAGGAGAACTCTTCCTATTCTAAATCATCCAATTACTTCAATGGCACAAAACAACCCTCCCCAGGTTCTTCCCGAACCACCTCATGTAGTTCATCCATTACCTAATCCTCAAATGGTCCTTAGTGATCATTACACTCCAAACCTCTACAATGCTCCGACATGTTACCGTTTACCAAATGTGAGGGCTAACCACAATGAAATCAAGCCCGGAATCATCCAAATGTGTCTAACATTTTGTGGTTTGAATCATGAAGATCCATATAAACATTTGGATGAATTTCTTGAGGTGTGTTCCACCGTTAAAATCACCGATTTTCCGGAAGAAGCCTTGAGAATGAAGCTTTTCACTTTCTCTCTCCGGGACAAAGCAAAGAATTGGTTTAACAACTTAGGGGCTAGTACTATCACTTCTTGGGCGCAAATGCAACAAGAATTTCTTAAGAAGTACTACCCCGTAAGTAAAACCAATCAAATGAGGACGGCTATTATGGGATTCTCTCAAAGTGATGGAGAGCCATTCTATGAAGCTTGGGAAAGGTTTAATGATTTGCTACGGAAGTGTCCACATCATGACCTTCCAAAGTGGCAACTTGTCCAATGTTTATATGAGAGCTTATCCAATACTCATGGGCAAATTGCGGATGCTTCATGTGGAGGTACATTCTTGCTTAAGCATGAAGATGATCTATGGACTCTCTTTGACAATCTAAGTGAAAATTCCATGCATCGTTCTTCATCTTCTCGGTCGGGTCATGTTCCTATGATAAGGGGGAAGAAAACTAAAAATCTATATCATGTAGAAAAGTCTATTGAGATTGCTGCCGAGGTCAAAAATCTCACTCAAAGGTTTGATTAATTCCTTTCGAGTCAAACTTAGGCAAATCAATCATCCTCTCTTCCTTGAGTTCAAAATGAAACATGCATGAATTATTCAAGTTCAAGTCACAATACTCCAAATTGTCCTCATGGACATGCAATCCCGAATGAGCCTTAAGAGCAAGCTAACGCTACTTTCTCTCGTCCGGGACATAATCCTTTCTCCAACACCAACAATCCTAGGTGGAGAGTCCATCCAAATTTCTTATGGAGAAACCAAGGAGCGAGTGTAAACCCTTCTTAAGGAAAATATGTTCCACCCCACTTTCAAAGTCCCCAAGCTCGAGCATATCATCCACCGTACAATCATCATCAAAATGTGGGTTACTCTTCAAGTTTAAATCATAAACATCCAAATTCTCAATCATATTCTCATGCCTCTCAAGCACCTCAAATGAGTTCCGCCTTTGAAGACAAGGTATTGGTCGCTTTAGGTAACCTCGACGCAAATGCACAATTGCTTCACTCCCATTCCCAATCAATTGCAAAACTTGAATCCCAAATCGGGCAAATTGCAAATTCCATGAGTGCAAGGGAAAAGGGGAAATTTCCTAGTCAACCTAAGCCAAACGCAAAGGCACACTACATGGTGGAATCAAATCCTACATCGGGATTATCCGCCCATAAGCAAGTCCAAGCCATAACTACCTTGAGAAATGGTAAAGTCATTGACAATAAGGTCCAAATGATACCAAGTGAAGAGAGTGACCCGGTGCAACCATATGGTTGTCCACTACCCATTCCAAAATCCATTCTTACTCCATCTAAAGAAAGGGATCATGACAATTGACAAGAAAGGAATTCCATCATCATCATCTTCTCCCTCTCCATTGGAGAAACCATATGAGCCTAGGGCTCCATTTCCTCAAGCTTTAAAGGATTCTTCTCCCTTTGGGAGACAACAAGGAAAAATAAATAACATGATGGAAATTTTTAAGCAAGTTAAAACCAACCTTCCTCTTTTTGACGCAATTCGTCAAATTCCACCCTATGCCAAGTTCTTGAAGGACTTGTGTACTCAGAAGAGGAAGTTAAAAGGTCAAGCTCCAAAGCAGGTGCTCCTTACCGAGCAAGTGAGCTCAATCATCAAGCATAACACTCCTCCAAAGTTCAAGGACCCCGGTGCTCCCACCATTTCTTGTGTCAAAAATACAAGATATTACGCGGTTCATCCACTAGGACTTATATCCACGACACAAAGAACCTTAAGGGCTACATCACTTTTATAATACGCTCTCAACTCATACACAATACAATGGTGGAGGCTCCTCTATATAGGAGAAGAAATTATAAGAATGGAAAGAGATGGAAAATAGGAAACAAGGAGGATTTTTCTCCACTGATTCCTCGGTAAATCTTCAATATATGCAAATGTTGTTTCCTAGCTACCAAACATCTAGTACCATAAACTATAATTGGTCTAATAGATAACTCCCCTTTCAATTGTATGGGGATATACGTGTCACACAATATACTAGATGCACTCCTCCATTTAACCCATCCTGCCTTGATTCTATAGTTAAGGCCATCTCCAATTTCTCCCTCAATTATGAATAATTGAGCCTAAATAACGAAAACTTCCACTTTGTGTACCTCTTGATTCTCAATCCTCACGACATCCTCATCTATCTTTTTAGATTTACTAAAGTTACACTCCATA